GCACTCAAAAATCCTCCCTATCCTCTTAATGTTATTTCCCAACACAAGAATGTCTCCGCGAGACAATCATCTATTTAACCTCGGTAAGCTTTAAGTGGACAGGTTAACATTATATCCATAAAGGATCTTTGTGCAATAAGAATTAGTTCAAAGCCTGGTGCTTCAGTGCTCAACAGATGAACTGGAACTTCTTTAATGAAATGTAATAATGAAATGACACACTACGCTAGAGAAACATATAACACGTCTTTTGATTGTGTACAATTAAATGCAAGTTAAACTGATTATAAACATTTAAACATTTTAACTCAAAACAAAGAGTATCTGCAATGACAATTCCCATTCCAAGCAATCATGCATCTGAGTGCCCAAGGTGTGGACAAAACAAAACCAAAAGCTAAAAAGGCAAACTTTAGAAAGACAGACTATATACACTTTGAACAATTATTAATTCCAATGGGTTAAATCTGAAAAGAAACATCAATGGAGCTCAGCTGTTAAGTGTATATACATTTTGGGGGGCCACCCTATACATGGGAGGGTGGCGCTGGAATAGGAAGAGGGAGGAACCAAGCACAAGATAAAGAAAATGGTAAAGGGCTCCGATTTCTGGTTTAAATTACAGTGTCCTTTATCAAGGAATGATGATGGTTTTCACGGAGCGGGAGCCTCGAGAAGACAAAATGAGAAATAAGGCTCGATCTTTATACACTTTTACGAGACTGTTCCAATTGTAAGTCCCCTCAAGTCCAAGGAGGGCAGGTCTGTGCACCTTCACAGAGTCACAATCTGTAAAAACCCCTACAACCCACAAAGAAAAAAAAAGAAAAATCAACTAATCAGCAAACGCGGTAAATGCTCGTTAACTTTCGCTCTTCGGCGCTGAGCGCAGGGGAGGCGGGCGGAGAGCGGGACCTTGGCGGAGCGTCACCGCTGGCAGAGGCCGGGCCCGGGTCCAGGACACCCCGGGCCGCCGCGCTGCTCTCGCACAGCCTTCGCCAGAACTGCCGGGACAAGGACATTTTTGAACGGGGCGCCAAAAACGCACAGAAAGGAACGGGTGAAACCGGGATGTCCGAAAGAACGCTTTCTGTTCCCGTCTTTCGGGCACTAACCTGGGAACCACCGTGGCGCCTTCTCGGGCTTCCGAACGAGTAACGTGCAGAGGCCACGGTGGAAGCCGAAGGAGACGGCCGTACAGCCCCACCTCCGACAAGGACCCCTAGCCGCCGCAGCCGCCATGCCCACTCCAGCCATCTTCCCAGCGGCCCCTGCGCCCCGCGCTGAGCTACGGAGACGCCGCAGGGCGCAGAGGAAGCGAGGCTGCGCATGCGCCCCGGCTGGAAGACGGGATTGGCTAAAGAGCGCCCGGAAGACTCGCAGCGCTCGGAAGCGCGCATGCGCAAAGCGGCGTCGCTCTTGCCCGCTTTCGCTTTGGGGCAGTTGGTTGGCCTCTGGGGCCTGTCGGTAGCGATTGCTCAGCGGGCAGGTAGGTATTGCAGGGCTGGAAGCAGCGCGGAACCTTTCCAAGGTTCTTAGGTTGGAAACCCGCTGTCTCATCGACCTGAGGGCTCTAGGGAGTGGAAGCATAAAAGTTAAGCTTGATGCAGTACAAGTCGCTCTCACCCTCTTGAGGGTTTTTTTTGCATTTTTATTTTTAAACTTTATTATTTTTTTTCCATCACCATTTATCCTCCCTATATCTCCTCTACCTCCAACCCCTGACAGTTCTAACCTGTACTGGAGAGGCTTCCACAATCTGACCGTAAACCCACTTGTTTAAAGAGTGGAACAGAACATTCATCCTCCTCCGCCCCTTTCTAAATTTGGTTTTGTTCTTGCTCTTCCTCTCCCTCTGCCTGACTACTGAGTCAGTCTGACCCTTGCCTCGCGTTATATGCAAAAATAAGTCCCAGTAGATTGAAAAAACAAACTCTCTCTCGTCTTCCTCTCTAAAACCCATAAAAACATATTTTCAGGTGAGGATTTTTAAAAATCTCAACAGAAGAAATAAGTACATTTAGGAGAATATTTCTTAAATATATTTTTAAATTGATTTTTCACAGAAAGGAAGGGAGAGGGATAGAGAGCCAGAAACATCGATGAGAGAGAAACATCGATCAGCCGTCTCCTGCACACCTTCTACTGGGGATGTGCCCACAACCAAGGTACGTGCTGTTAGCCAGAATCGAACCTGGGACCTTTCAGTCCGCAGGCCGATGCTCTATCCACTGAGCCAAACTGGTTAGGGTAGAAAGAACTTAATCTTAAAACTTGCAATTCCCAAATCATAAAGAATAAAAACATTTGACTCTATACAGATTTAAACATTTTTAATATATTTTTATTGATTTCAAGAGGGAAGGAGGAGAAAGTCATTGAAATATCAATGATGAGAGAGAATCATTGATCAGCTGCCTCCTGCCTCCCTCCCCCCACCACTGGGGATGGAACCTACAACCCCGGGCATGTGCCCTTGACCAGAATCGAATCCAGGACCTCCTGGTTCATAAGTCGAGGCTCAACCATTGAGCCATGTCAGCCAGGCCTAAACATTTTGAATGGTAAAAGGTGCCTCTAGTCAAATGAGAGTCTAGAAAAATTTATTTTACTGCACAACAGAACATGAGTACTTCTATTTAATCTGCTTCAAGAAATGATAAAAAATATAATTCCAATAAAATTGGTCAGTGGCTATGAATAGGCAGTTCATATGTGTAAACATGATGTCCAACCTCACTATTGGAAAATGTGAATTAAAAAAAATAACATGCTATCTTTCCCCACCCATCAGATTGGCAAAAATTAAAAACAGCAAGTATTGTCAAGAATCCTGGGAAACTGGTACAAATATATGGCTGGTGGGAATGTGAATTGCTAAACTCTTGTCAACTAATATGATCACATCTTTATAATTTAAAATACGTATCATTTTCAACACCCCTGATCCAGTGGTCCCATTTTGTGACTATCCTATAGAAAACAATATTAACACATAAGGATTCATATTATTACTACAGCACTAGTTTTTTGTTTGTTTGTTTTTAATCCTCATTCAAGGATATTTTTCCATTGATTTTTTTAGAGAGTAGAAGAGAGAGGGAAAAACAGAAAAATTGATCTGAGAAAAACATTGATTAGTTGCCTCCTGCAGGAGCACTGACCAGGGCCTGGCCAGGGAAGAGCCTGCAACTGAGGTATGTGCCCTTGACCAGAATCAAACTCGGGACCCTTCAGTATGCAGGCTGACATTCTATCCACTGAGCCAAACTGACTAGGGCAACTACAGCATCAGTTTTAGAAGCAAACAGAAGAAAAAAAATGAAATGGCCAATAATAGAAAAATCCTATATAGTAAAAGCCTAATATGCTAAGTGTCCAGTTGTTCAGTCACCCATTCAACCAATCAAAGCATAATATGCTAATGATATGCTAAGGCCACTCAACCGCTCGCTATGATGGGCACTGACCACCAGAAGGCAGACACTCTGACTGGTAGGTTAGCTTGCTGCTGGGGTCCGACCGATCAGGACTGAGCAAGATGGGCCGGACATGCCCTGGGCCCCTCCCACGATCCCTCCCCGGCTGGCCAACCTCCCCTGTCCCTCTACAGCCCCAATTGTGCAAAGGATGTCCAACTGCCATGCCTAAGCCATCAGTCGGACATCCCCCGAGGATTCCCGGACTGTGAGAGGGCGCAGGCCAGGCTGAGGGACCCTCCCCCCACCTACGTGCACAGATTTTGTGCACCAGGCCTCTAGTGGTTAAATTGTGATACAAGGATTTCTGGATTCCAGCTCTGACACTCTAATGTAATTCTGGAGGGTCTCAAGCATCAACAAGTAAGGCCTTATCTTGTTTTCCACTACTTAAAAAGTCACTATGATTGATATACTTTGAGTAAAGCTACTTTAATGTCTTGGTCATAAATATCGGAGCAATGATTCGGAGTTAGAATTAAAGGCAAAGGGTTAGAAAAAGTGAATCAGCCTATCTTTGGAGTCTTGAGAACCAAAGAAAACTTAGCTGGAAAAGTTAGCTAAATAGAAACTGAACAGATATCTTTCTTGAGAAATGTAAGGCCAGAAACAGAGAGCAAAAACAGCCTCTTGACTTCAGGACAAACTTTGAAAGTTGCTAAGTTATTTTGCTAGTTCTCTATTAGGTCTGTTGTAGACTACAGAGGGACTAAGTTAATATGGTGATGCCCAATGCACGCCACTTCACCATCCCTCATATCCTAACAATACATACTTATCCTCAAAGTTTTTGGATAATTGCACAGATTCTCAATCATCCCTGTCCCTATTCTCTTCCTATATTTTTGCAGGTCTTGCATTTGATGTGCAGCAAAATGGAAAAAACAAACAAAAAAAACCTGATTTGTCCTTATAGTGGGAAAAAACACTGCACACAATCCATTGATCATTCCCTCTGTACACCCTTATCGGTCTAACAAATCAGAAAAAAATTGGGGCTGCTGTCAAGTAAATGTACTTTTACTGACAGAGATGTGTTTGAAGTAGGCAAATTTGTTTCCATTGACCTACTGTAAATGTTGCCTTCATTAACCGGGATGAAAGAGCGTATTGGTGAGGGCAGTTTCTCTCTCGGAAACCTGCTGCCTTTGTTCAGGGAGACAGATGAGGTCCCCATGGAATAGAGCCCTAGAGCTTTACTTCACACCTGTGTGATTGATTCCTTGTCATATAGAAGTATAAGTAAACACAGTCCTTGTAATCCCCAGTACTAAATGCATCTGTGAAAAAAGATAATAAGATGTCAGGGTTTCCAGGGGTACCTCATTTTGTTAACAACAAGAATGTGACCAGAGATACTTCTAATTACTTGTTTTTAAACCACAAATCATATTGTTAGCACATAACATCCTTTATGTAGAGTCTACAATGGTCTTTGGCTGATTAATCCACCCGGCCACACTTGTCATGTTAACAATAGGCAACTTCCTAATGAGAGATGAGTTTGTCTTCAGACTGAAATCTGGTCAACATTTTAATCCAAACTCAACACATTTTGACACACATTTTTAAAAGGTTTACTACATCATGCAAGATATAAAGTTGATTAGAATATCTTTACAATCCTATGCAGAGAGTACAGTACAAAAAAGTTGTATCTTTACATTAAACCAAGAAAATTTAAGCAATTATATTCACTTTTTTAGATCATTACAAGATTTAAGGGTGATCTCTGAAAAAACAAACCCAGATAATAAAAATGTCTCCTGCAATCGTGATTTTGTCCTCTACTGTTCAAGTAAAATCATGTGTCATCCAGTTGCAAAATCTTATTATTGGCAGTATGTATACATATACACAAAGCACACTGCAAATGTAAAAAATTGTACCCAGTCAGGCCTGACAAACATTTCATGGACACTTCTAATCATTTCACCTTCACTAGTAAGTAATGTCATTATTTTCTACTTCTATTCATTTGCCACGTTTTAGGAAAGTACATTCATACTTACAAACACACAACATAACAAACCAGGATAAATGGCATTTAAAAAACTGTTATGAAAGAGACTTGCCTGAAGTCATTTAATTCAACCAAAAATTAATTTAACTCTAAGAAACAAAGGCTTATTGTAAAGAGATACATAATAAAATAGTACATTTCAGAGAACATGATTGAACTTCATTTGATATTTTATAAAACTACAGCATTCTGTAAATAAGTATTTTAATTGGTCTGTTCTTTGGTTAAAAAAAACCACAAATCTGATTTCATAGTTATGTCATGTGAGGCTGCAATTAACAGGTGTGCTCCGTAACAAAGGAAAAGCCAACAATCTAAGGAATCGGCTACTGGTTACCTGTATTTTCAGTGCTGGGAATGGAGAAATCTTCAGGAAAACAAGCTCCTAATATTAAATAGTCTTTTTATTTTAATTGCCCAATGTGACAAAATATGTCCAAGACTGTTTTTTTCTAAAATACACAGCTTTCTGTTCTTTCTTCTTTTACAAAAAATGGTTTGCTATACATATACAGTAGCTTATGCTGGTGGCAACTCTTCAAAGTCAACTGCCTGGGCACTTGATGGCATCAAAGCATCATTTTAAAGTGTAGAATAACACGAAATGCAGTTCATCACTTGAAACTACTACCATTAAACAGAGGTCATGTCAAGTCTTTGGTTTGGTGCAATACTTAAAAATTAGGGCAAAAGTTCCTCCTGTAATATATTCTTCCCCAAGGCCCTGTGCGCTCATATTTATAATAACCTTCAGCAAAATGCTCCTGTTTTTAAAAAGCCAGGTAATACCAATAATGTCAATACCAATGATTTGGGTGCTAGAGTAATCACATATTTCCAAGTATGTACATTTTGTAAACTGTTTAGTTCACCAAGATCAACAATTGATAAAAAATAGTTTATTAGAAATGCTCCTCTAAGTGATGCTAATTACCAAAATAGTATTTTCTTTCTCACAGGTGCTTGATTCCTTTGCTATTCATGATCAAGCTTTGAACTAAAATCCCTTCTTTCTCATTTACAAATGGCTTCCTCTTAATATGAAAAGAGTTATGAGTATGCACAGTGAAAGGGATGGGTCTGTAGGGTCTTTCCATCTGGGATACAATATGGCTTCATTCTTGTAAGAGATTATTGCCGTCTGCCCTGAAGTGGACTGTCGCTCCAGTTCACTACAACATGAAGTGAGTGTAGCCTTCTGCCCCAGTAACTATGACATCCATCCAGATCCGCATGGCTTCCGGTGATGGGGCCACCATGTAGTAGATTCTGTCATGTGTCTTGACGCTAAAGGTGAGTAATGGGTTAGGACTCTAAAAGTCAAAAAAAGGAAACAAAAATGTAACACACGTATCTTGAAATTTTAACACGAAACAACACCAGGGCTTCTTCCTCTTTAAAAGTTCCAATTTATGCAAATCTACACAGGCATTACTTTTGCTCTAGTATAACCTATACCCCAGTCCCAACACCTTTCTCAAGACTGACTATCTTTCTGGCCTTTCTGCACAAGAGTTCTCACAGAGAGCTCAGCAACCCTCTTAGCAGTTCCTTCTGTAAAGTTCTAGGAGTGTACCTGGCTGATGGTGGGTGCTCAACAAATAATGGCTGTTAGTCTCAGCCCTACTCAGACCCTTCCTCATAAGCAGGTAGTATGTTCTTAGAGCCCTAGCAAAGAGTCACTTGGCAGGGTCTCTCCCAACTGGTATGTCCAGAACATTTCCTCACTGTGCCATGATGTTTTTTCCCCCACAAAAAGATCAGCTATACTAATTACTTCTATGGTTATTTTTCTACACCATGTTGATCATATCTATCTGCTATGTCAGAACAATCAATCTAAATTGCTTCAAATAAAACACACACACACACACATATTTTGCCAATTTAGGTATGCATTAAAATGGTAGGAACCTGAAAATCAATGTTTACCTTATTAGCATTCTTGAGGTGATCATAGTACACTTCTTCAATGGCTTGAAAGTATATTACTCCTTTTAATTTCGTTTCATGCTTGTCTGCAACAATAGATGAGTGTTAAATACGTTATCACCACCAATGGACAGGAAAAATTATAATTCATTATAGTCATCATTAAAATATTTATCTAATATTAAAATTATCTAAGTTTCAGGTATTTCAGGTTAGTGCAATAGCCTGGTTCTATATTGAAAAAAGATGAAATTATCAGCCCAAACTGAAGCGACTAAGTGACTGCCCAAGGTTTTCCAGCAAACTAGCAGTCAAAAGATAACCCAGAACTTCTGTCAGATTAACACACAAAGAATAAACACCATTGACATGGATATAAATCATTTCTCCACATTCTCTAAGACATTAGACTGGAACTATGAATATGCAGAGTTGTTGTAATGAAATTTATAACAATTGTGTTTTTCGACTTATATTTTAAAATAATATGCTACTTATATATCTTTTCTATCAATTTCTTGTCCAGCATGCTTGATTTATTTGCCTGTTCCCAATAGAGCTTAACATCAATAATTTAATGTCCCTTCAATGCAGCATTTTCCAAACTGTTTCTAAGATTTCATCAGATTTTCCATAAAAAGCAAACAAAACACTTATAAAACAAACACCCAAACCGCCAACCAAATAAACAACATCACTCTGTAATCTAATAAATTCCTGAAATATAACTTAAATTCATCAAGAATCATAACACATGAGCATATTAAAAGTTTTTACAGCATGATGAAGATGCAGAGAAAGAGACTCTATCATACTTTGTTGGTGGAAGTGCAAATAAAAAAAAGCCTTTTTTGGAAGGCAATTTGTAAAATAAACACAATTAAAAATGCAAAACCATCCTCTTAGCAATTCTATTCTAAAACGTTTTGTATAAAAGCTCCTGATGCGCATGCACACAGATTTGTGTTTGTTGTAGCAGAAGGCTGCCAGAGTCTGCTTGAGCTTTAGCAGGGAACTGATTCAATAATAGACCAGCCATAAAATGGAATCTAACAGCCACTGAAAGGATGGAGGTAGACTTGTATGTGCCCAGTAGAGAAAAATCTTGAAATACTGTTATGTGAAAAAAGTTATGAAGTTATGAACAGAGTGTAATTTGGTCCCAACAGTATTAAAGAAGAAAGAACACATGTAACATACTCAAATCGAGTTATAAATGAATAGAGAAAATCTAAAAGGATATTTCAGATGTAATAGTGGGAAAAGGTTAGGACTTTGTGATGGGAAAGAGGCAATTTCTTTATAGACATTTTTGTTGAATTTTATTTTTATTGTTTTACTAATGAATATCCCTTTCTTCCCCCAACAACAACAATAAAATCCTAGTATGAAAAACAATATCCCCTAGGAAGTTCAGTAGAAAATAAAGCTGTTTAATTGTATTTAACCCAGTGCATCTCTCAAACATTTGCTGGAAAGAGTCTGCAATATTCATGGGAATACAATAATACTTTGTTCTCTGAAAACAGATGCAAAATAAAATCTGAAGATAAAAGTAAATCTTGTTAGTGTTTCAAGCAGACAGAAAACTGTGGAATGAAACTTCTGTTAGGCACTTCATATATGAGACAGAACTCTGAAAAACATAGGCCTCACAAGGACACTATGAACTAAGAGAATCAACAATGGTTTGGTAAGCTGATGAGGTAATGCTACTCATTTTGTTTCAGTAGCATTATCCTATCAACTTACAGACATTTTTTTCTGTGCCTCAGTTTTTTAGAGATTCTTCCAAAGTTACCCAGTTAATATATGGAGGCCAAGGACAGAGCCTGGTTCAATGCCAACAGGGAGATCAAAGACTAGCTTTCAGCACTCACCTTTACAGCTCCTTCATGCATACCATGGTCATCGACCTCACTGATAAGCTAACGGGGCATGGCTAACGTGGGATCAAGTGCAGCCTGAACTGCAATCTGTATGACTTCCTGTGGACTGATCTGTTCCTGAACTTGGTGCTGTTTGGGAACGAGTGTGGGTGGAGGTGGCAGGAGCAGTCAAAGCTGATGATGGCTGCAAACAGAGCCAACTGGCAGCGTTCGCCAAACGAGGTCCCACCGGTCAGTTATAGAATATATAAATATTAAAAAGCTGAATTAAATATGATGTTGTCTGTTTTATGCACTAGGATTCTGAGTAATTTTCCATATGCCAAAGAGGTTTGTAAAAAATTGGAAACCAGTCACTAAGAAGTTTAAGTTTGGAAAATCTCACTTCCATGGGTCAGAAAGAAGGGCCACTGAACCACCCACCTGACAGATAAAATGAAGGATCCCAGAGAAAAGAAGAATGAAATTGTTTGTCTGAAATTATTTCAAAATTTTACTTTTGAAAAACTCTGGGTGAGGTTGCCTGTGGAGACTAGCACACAGCAACTTTGCTTTTTTTTAAAAAATGCATTTTGCAGACACTAAATTAGCATTTCTTAAGTAGACATCTTTTCTATCGTACTAACTGGAGAGAATGTCTTTGGATTTCTATAAAATTCAACATCATAAAGCCCTAAAAGGCAAAGCAGCGGACCTGTAAGGTTAGGCCATTCGGGTCAGGCCACTAGCCACGTAGTAACTGGAACCCCACTCAAAGAGCTATGAAAGGCACATACCCCCACCCTCTTCTCACCCCAATTCTGGGGCTCCACAGCCAGTATTTCATTTCTTTCACATGCTTCTTGGTTTTGATACTTCTCTTCATAAACATATCCTGACCTCACACTAAAGATTAAATGGCTGAACTGTTATTTTTTACTTATCACATACATACTTTTTAAAAACAATTCCTGACAAGGCTTATAAATGCTGATACAGTTGTCACAAAACGAGTCTTTTGATAACCTCTGGGCTGCTCCCCCCTTCTTCAGAGCTGAAAGGAGGCCAGAGTTTACTGTGGTGGAAATGGACATGTTTCATATGGATCAAGAGTAAACAAGAGGCTTGTTGATAAGTATGCAGTCACACTAATATTCCTGTATTTATGGAAGATGACGTAGGGTGTGTTTCTCATAATCCATCATTTAGAGCATTCAAAAGATTTCAGTCACTTAATAAATACTTATTCACTAGTTCACTGATAAGCTTTACTCTCTGACATAAAAAGACCGTTCCAGTTTATAAACTATAGCTGAATGTCAGCTGCTGTTGCCTATGACTTAAATAGGGCATATGACAATAAATAGATAGGTAAATAAATAAATAAATAGAAACCTTTTTTTTTTTTCTGGCTTCATGGTTTAAAAAGAGAAAATTTGGTCTCGAAAATATAGTCCATTTAATATATATTTGGACGTGAGCTTATTTAAGAACTACAATAGATTATTTCATACTTTTAGAAAACATGATTTTTATTATTTCTAAGAGGAAATTCACATCACGTGGACCATATAATCTGAACATAAAATAATTATACATTTACAAAGTTAATATTGTCATTATTTCTATTACTTACCAATTCACTATTTATACTGAATTTTATTGTTTTTACTCTTTAACAGAGGGTTCCTAATTTGAATACATTGTTTAGATTTTTCCCATCACCCACCTGCATAATAAGAGAATGTGCGCTTGTTCCGATCAAAAACAAACCAACGTTTTTTCCAAGTTTTAATTTTTCCACCCATTTTGATGAGGAATCCTCGGCAGGTCTTCTCTGTGATGGACACATGATAACAGGTGTCAATATTGTGGCCAGCAGTCTCCACGTGGCTCCGCAAATCGAAGTCTTCCTTCCGGACAGGCAGATAGCGTGTCAAAGGTCGAGCCTGGAAAAGGGCAAACCCATTGCATCTGAAACTAGTTATCTGCTTCATTTAGACCAGAGGGGTAGAAGCAGAAAACAACTGAAAAACCTAAGCATTAAAATGCCCATATGATTATAAGCACTTAAAATTCTTTTTTTAAAAAAATATATTTTATTGAATTTTTACAGAGAGGAAGGGAGAGGGACAGAGAGTTAGAAACATCGATGAGAAAGAAACATTGATCAGCTGCCTCCTGCACACCTCCTACTGGGGATGTGCCCGCAACGAAGGTAAATGCCCTTGACCGGAATTGAACATGGGACCCTTCAATCCACAGGCCGACACTCTATCCACTGAGCCAAACCGGTTAGGGCAGCACTTAAAATTCATCACATGGGGTCTAAAAAGTGGGTAGTATTTTAAGAAGGATGCTACAATATTGTGGGGGGTGGGGTGGGAGCTAGGGGGTAAACCCAGGCCAACAGATCCTATGTCTAGAGAAATGGACAGATGAGAAAATGGAAAAATGTCATTTATCTTAGCATTCAAAAAGGTACTTAGCACTTAAAAACACAGGGAAATGAAGCATGAAGTTACCTGGGCAGCTTTCTACAGATGAGGGCTCCTCCACTGTAAAGCTTCCAGTTCCCCCCACCACCACCTCACAGTAGCTCTTAAATAATTTCAGACACGACTGATGGAACATTCTTTAGTAAGTACAAACCCCACAAGATTCCCCTCATCTATACACATCGGCTTCCATAGAAATCTAAGGCAGAGATGTATGCTTTGCAAAGTGAATCTAAATTAAGGTAAGAAGTGGAGTCAAAATGCTGTTCAGGACCAGACACCAAAGAGATAGACGTAGATGTCCTTTATTTCACTGTGGCTGGAGTAGAAGTTCGTCTAACCTAGGAAGCACAGATCACCATGGGCAATGCTTCTAAAACAAGGCTTTATTTTATCCTGTTAAATTAACCCACTCCTTTACCCTGGGGAAAATGACCTCATCATATACTTGGTTAAACCTTATAATTAGGATTAAAATAGAATTGTGCTTTTTGGTTTGGCTTTCAGATACCTTAACGGTGAATCAAAATTTGGCAGAGGTTTGGCTTAATAAAATAAAATGAACATGTTTCACTTTGTAGTTCTCCTTCGATACTTTGTCTTTGAGACTGTGATACTTTGTAAACAGATGTTACAGACTTTTGGTGCATCGCAGCCGTAAAGAAAGTCTCTCACTGCTGTACTATCAACTGCCAGCAACTACAAAGAATCAGGGAAATGGGACCTTTTACCTTTAAGTCTAGTAAACTTTGGTAAAACTGATTTGAACTTCAAATTACATGGACTTAACACAATTTTATTTGAGCTTCTCAGAAGACATACATTATGTAAACAGCTCTAGTGACAATACCAGAAATTCAAACTCTAAGATGACCAAGATAGGAAGTTAAACAGAATGGGTGGTTTCCCCAAGTTTTGCTCGAGTTCAGTAATTTCATGTGGACTGGTGTAGTAAAGGGGACACGTGTGACAATTCAGTGGTTAGGAAACATCAACAACAAACCAGAACACTAACACTACCACCAAGAAACAGGTCTGGTAAGATTACCCTCTTCTGGAGTATTTGCTTCCAAAAGATGCCTTAATAGGCTGTCTTCTCTTCCTCAGCCAAAGGTTTTAGTTTGGGTGTTGTATTTGCTTTCAGTAGTAAATCCAGCTGCATTTTTCAAAGCTCCTCAAAAAAATTCTTCTTTTAAATATAGCCCCCAAAATGGGTAGAAGACAAAGTGTCTTTCCCATCAGATGTCCCATGCACGAGCAGGGAAAGTGTCATTTGATTGGTAGGCCCTGATAAGTTTCAAAATCAACACGTTTGGTATTTTTCGCCCACTAACGCACGTTTTCCCCTTAACCATTATATGTCAAGAGCTAATTCCTGGAAGGCATCCTGACACAGCAGTACCTTGCTCTACAGAACAGCCACTAGGGGGCAACATACTCTTATGTATCCACATTGATACACCAACCTGCGCCCTTTGTTTCTCCCTTATCTTCACTTCCTTTTCAATCAACTTCTGCCTCTGGCTAGTTTCTTCCTGCAATCGTTTTTCCAGGAGTTCTCGGCGTCGTTTCTCTTCTTCCAGAGCTCGTTTTTTGGCTTCCATTTCCCGTTCCTAAATAGCATTAGGCAGAATACATTTTAAGACATACTGGTTATATTTGAATGAGTCCAATTAATATCAAATAGGAAATCCTCACTAGAAATTCTGGCTTATAACCTAGTCTCTTATAACATGTAACCTCGACTAAAACACTCGTTATCACCTCTCACATGGCTTACAAAATCATCCTATGCAAAAAGGCAACCAGTAACTTGAACTAACAACTGAATTTAAGTGAAAATCCAGCCGGTGATCAGTACATTTAGTCATTTCATATTGATGACCACGACTCTCCCATTGCTAATAAAAAGCCTCTCAAATTGTCAGCCAACGCTGGTCATGAGATTTAGCCTTTCTTTCAGTTGACCTCTTCTAACTGAAGGTCATGCATGGGTCCTTCCAATTCCTGTTGTTGCTCTGCAGCTTCCTGGCCAAAGGTCGAAGAGGAAGCACATGGGGCAGTTAGAAGAGGAAAGGAGGTGCCCCTGGGCAGGATGCGAAGGCATTCTGGGGGATTCCTAAGGAAGTTCAGATTCTGCTTGAAATACAGTCACAATAACGAGGGATTTTTAATGTTACAATAGAGTAGTTAATGCAAGCTGACAAGGAATGGAGACTACATAACGACATGACATCCCTCCTCATTCTTTGGCAGGCAAACAAAGCGCCCAACAAAAGGAAAACATAATACAAAGCATTCATTTCAGTCTACGTCAACACTATGTCTATTTTCAATTATGAAAGATTGTAGTGCAGTAAAGAGCCTTTGAAATCATCTAACACCCTTAGTTTCCAGATAAGAAGATGCAGCCGAGAAAGGCTGAGTGACTACTCCACGACCACACACACCACTGAGTGAGGCCCTAGGACAGCTTCCTGGTGTCAAGTGCAGAGCACCTTGAACCCCCACATCTCTGCCCTCCAGCATCATGATCTGAGACCTACCCTGGATTCTAGCAGACGTGTCTTCTCTGCATGAGCCTGCTTCAAAAGTCTCTCCATCTCTTCTATCCTGGCAATATTTGAAGTGCTGGCGCTAAATAAAACACAAAAGCCTTTCAAGAATATTGTTTTGGAATGAGATCTCTTCACACACACACACACACACACACACACACACACACACACACACACACGGGTTCACAAAGGTGTAGGGCAAAATCCAATGAAATTTAAAGGTCTGAATGGGCAAGTCAATTTAACTCTGAAAATTGTAGGTGATACTGACTTACCTCAGTGTAGGAGACAAAATGCGGGCAAGCAAAATAATGCCAACGTGCTTTACTCATAAACAAACCAAAAACAAATTTTATGAAGAATGTTTTCAAAATGCTTCTTGCAAAGTCTAAAAATTTTGGCCTGTGGGAGGCCTTCCCATTAGCTGAATTATTCAGTCAACAGACTAACAGGACTAACACTAAAGTTTTAGGTAAATGACACCTATGGTTTGAAGCACCTTTATTTGGTTTCGGAATATGTGTCATTAGCTGCTTTTTTTGCTGTGCTTTCACATCTGTGGGCATTTTACTTCTTACATGATAATGCCAATTAAAAAATGACTTCTTATAGGTGCAATGGGAGGGTGGTGGCCAGTTTTGTCAACAATACCCACCCGCCATACCAATGAACAAACTGCATAAAGGGATCCAAGAGTTTTGAAAGAAATGCATCTTGGAAAAGACATCACACAAACAAGTAAAGGAAAAAACCAAAAAACAGAGGAAATGAACACTGCAGAAGAGTCAGGGGTAACCAAATGAAAAAGAGAAGAACTTGGAAGTGAACAAACTGCATAAAGGGATCCAAGAGCTTCAAAAGAAATGCAACCTGGGAAAGACATCACACAAACCAGTAAAGGAAAAAAACAACAGAGGACAAGAAAAGTTAAGGGTAACAACATGAGAAAGAGAAGAACTTGGAAATGTTTAACACTAAACAAAAATCTCTATTTTTCACTTGCTTACATTTTAGTTCACTAGTTTGGAAAAGAGAAATCGTAGCTGAGGTCAAAATGTATTTACTCTGATGTTGCAGCTGCGGAGAACCAAAGTTGTTTCTTATGCATGTAAGCATGTATGATCACTTACTTATTTGTCTTCTTTTCCAGAATCTCTTGAGGAGAGAGAGGCTTTTGTGCCTCTACCCCCCATAGCATAGCACCTGGCACACAGTAGGAATTTGTGTTTGTAAGACATTCATATAAAAGTGAATTCATATAAGATATATAAGATAATTACTACTGAGGTCTTCCAAAATCAGGTTTTGGATCATCTCAAACATAGGTTGTTCTGAAGATATAAATGACCGCAGTAACACAGGACATGTGGTTTATCTTAAAAACAGTACTGTGAACACAGATGTCTTTAGCAGTTTTATTCATATTTGCCAAAATTTGGAAGCAACCAAGACGTCCTTCAGTAGGTAAAGAATAAATAGACCATGGTTCATCCAACATTCCTACTTATCATCTAGCTTGTGCCCTGAACATTGTTACAGAAAAGTCACTGTATCCACTCCTCCTTTGCTTGGACAGCATTGTTAGAATGCTGATTCTCATGTTGAATATTCCTACAGCTTCCATTCACTGACCTAAGCAGGACCCTGAAGCCACTTGAAACCTACCCAGATGAATTGGTTGCAAGTAACTTGGTCAGACACAAATATTTTCAGTCCATGGTTTTTCATATATTTGCAATTTGGGTTTATCTTGGGGATAAGTTTTCAAACATTTATCCAACTTTCAATATTTCTGTTCATTTTTTTAAAAGAAATTTTCGGAGTGTTTTCTATTTATTTGATAATGGTTCTAATTAATTTTATGCCAATTATATCCAATCTATTTACTTGGCAATGTTCTCAGAAATGTCTTAATTTTTGCGCCAAATGAGCTGAATTTTATGAAAACACTTGACAGAAGAAAGTACATGTTAACACTGACCATGTCTTCATTATTTTAGGCACCTAAAGTCAACTTTTTTTTTTTTTTTAACTATGCTGGATACGCTGTAAAAAGATACTTAGTTATTTTATTAAAAATATAAATTAATTTTTATCCATAGACACTTTATTGTTCTCTACAGCCACATTTTTGGTACTGTTCACTTGAATATTTCCTTGACATTAAGCCACTTTTATTCAGCAAAACTTTTGCTGCTTTATGATATCATGTTGCCACCCTTTGATGAGATTCGCTTTAAAGAAAGAGTCAGGAGGCCACTGAGGATGTGAGGCCTGTGCACATCTCCTGCCTCAGTTCTCAGAGCTGCTATGAAGTTGCTACACTCAGCTCAAAGCTGAGCCTTAAACATTCTGGGACAACTGCTGTACGCACATGTATGGACGTTACTTCCTCCTCCTAATTTCTGACTCCCTCATTTGCATATTGGAACTGCCCAATCCCTGTTAAGTTAGCCAGATTCCTTCATTTTCATGGAGGACCAGAATGGGAACCAACTTGTAAGTTTCACCCCTATAAAACCCTGCCTTTCTCTTTTCTCTTCTGAGCACAATTGAGGTTGCTGCCTGAATCTGGGCCTCCTGGGTTGCAAACCTTTTTGATCAAATAAGTACCTTTTGTTCTTTATGGGGCCTGGACCTCTTCTTTGGTTAACACTACCCAAGATCGAAAGCAGACTATAAACCTTAGCCTAAAATGAAGAGATTAGAAGCACCTCAAATTCTGGTTAAAGCATCTTTTAAAACCAAGTTCAGCCATGGATTGCTTTCAATCCGGTTCCCAATCTTCTTTCTTTCTCTCACATAACACTGCGGGTATTTAAGCTATCACGAGCAATCAGCTTCCTCAACATTTTCTAAAAAATATGAGCACAGGGTCAGAACTTAGAAAGTTAACAATGGCAATAGTAATAATAATGTATTACCATAGGTGATATTTAGAACACTATGTTCTATAAGACAATCAGTAATTCTAGCAGAATAGAGATTTTATGCAGAATCAATTCTCAGTTACTGTTTTCTAAGACCAAGGTTTGCTTTCTTAGCTCCATGTTTGTTTACAGTGTAGTAAGAATGCTGAAAAAGCAAAAACATTGTCTGACTCAAGTAACTTTCTGGTAGATGCAAAAATGATGTCTCAACAAAAACTGAAGGGCAAATGTACCCACAAGTCTGAGGAATTCTGTAATTCTACAAATGACTTTTTGTGACATAATAAACCACAAGACTAAGTTTATGTCACTAGAATTTCAGCATGCAATTACCTTTTTAAAATATGTATATTTCAGGATATTTTAATCCATAATTTTTAAAAAAATTTAAAAAAAGGAAAATTGCAGTCCTTTATTCTTCTTTCTACCTATCTTCACAGAGTTCCCATTAAGGAAGTCCTGTTGAAACACACATTCCAAACATTAGTTCCTATTACCCACTTTCCTGATGTTTACCCTTTATTTTCCACCATAACAAAGGGTGTGAGCTTATCCTAGGGTAGCATGGATTTTTTTTAAAGGTAGATGGTGGTGCAGAAGAGACATGCTTGTTTTTCTCTCGCTTGTCTGCTAGACCTTCTATAGGCATTTTCTACTTTGGCTTCAATTTTTTGACCTTCAGAGGATCTGACAGAAAAATTAAATAAACGCTGGTACTAATGACTGACTGTAGTGCCTGGTTACCCACATCTGCTAGCACTACCAGGTCAGTTCTGTGTGCAGGAACTACGGAAAATGACGGTGGTCACAGGTAACTGCCTGCCAGGAATGGTCACTCTGCAATGATGCTATTTTCTTAATGTGGCATGTTCAGTGGGAACATTCTTGTTTTCAACCCTAGGAAACCATTCTCAGAAAAAGCAACCCAATGAGCAAATAAAAATAAATTAAGGTTTTGCTGGTACTTAAGTGTTCAGATCTGAACTTGTAATGCTTGGTACATATAACTGAAATGGTCCCTTTTTAGGTCATTTCCTGTACTCACTGCTGCGCCGCAGCTGTTTACCTCTGTTAAATATGGGAGATGGGGTGGGGAGTGATGATCTGGAAGTATGCATATTTGCTTCTAATTTTGAAGGGAAAGAAGAGGGGGAGTAGAAAACAGAAGAAGAATAAAACATCAAGATAGGAAAACCCTTAGAGTGTATTTATTTATTAAAGATGGCTCAGCCCTAGCTGGTTTGGCTCAGTGGATAGAGCATTGGCCTGCAGACCGAAGGGTCCTGGGTTCAATTAAGGTCAAGGGCACATGCCTGGGTTGTGGGCTCGATCCCCAGTAGGGGGCGTGCAGGAGGCAGCCGATCAATGATTCTCATCATTGATGTTTCTATTTCTCTCTCCCTCTCCCTTCCTCTCTGAAATCAATAAAAATATATATATATATTTTTAAAAAAAGATGGCTCAAAAAGAAAAAAAAGGTCAAGCTTTCAAGAATTCATCATAGGACTATTGTTATAACATGTTCACAATTATTAGGGAAGAGGGGAGAGTAGTCTGATGTTTTCAAAATAACAACTAAGTAAAACGTGCCAAAGAAACGTGGGCAGTCCCTCGATGATTACTACATTGGGAAACTAAAGTGCTGCATTTTGTATTCTCTGTTTTAACGTCCAACTTTTATTCCCCTATCATCATTATATAATAGTTGCTGAGTTACTGACTTTTGTTTGGACCCTGTTATTCAAAAATACCACATCGAATTGGTCAGTTTACATTGGACAACAGTCATTTATGAATAACTGCTCAAAGCTCTAGGATTTCTGTCCTGAGAATGTCAGCTCCCGCTAACATGGCTCCAACACCCTCACCAGGACCACAGGGACTACCAAGCACCTTCAGGTGAGAGATGGTTTGATGCCCAAAGTTCCACACACTCACGCGTCTTCCTCAAAATGGTCGTGTTATATATGTTTTTAAGGGAAATACTGCATCTTCTAATCTATACTAATAAAAGGGTAATATGCTAATTAGATCGGGAGATCTTCCGGACATCCTTCCAGACAAAGCCATGGTGGTGGGGCCGAGGCAGAGGCGGTTAGGGGCAATCAGGCCAGGAGGGGAGGGCAGTTGGGTGTGATCAGGCTGGCGGGGGTGCAGTTGGGGGCGAGCAGGCTGGCAGGCAAAGTGGTTAGGGGCGATCAGGCAGGCAGGCAGGTGAGCTGTTAGGAGCCAGCGGTCCCGGATTGCAAGAGGGATGTCTGCTGCTGGCTTTGGCCCAATCAGGCCTACACCGGCAGTCGGACATCCCCTGAGTTGTCCCAGATTGGAGAGGGTGCAGGCCAGGCTGAGGGACACCCCGCCCTGCCCGCCCCCCATGCATGAATTTCATTCACCCAACCACTAGTCTATATATAAAAGCCTAAGCAACCCGCCGACTGGCTGACCGGCCAACTGGTAGCTATGGCGCACACTGAGCACCAGAGGGCAGACACTCAATGCAGGAGTGGAAACCACAGGCATGGAAACATGGAACAGACTGATGAATCTCAGAGGGAAGGGAGGAAGGGGGTAGGAGGAGGATGGGAAGAGATTAACCAAAGATCTTATATGCATACTAGAGGCCTGGAGCACAGATTCATGCACTGGTGGGGTCCCTCGGCCTGGCCTGTTCCCTCTCCCATCCTCGGGGATGTCGGAGAACAGGTTTTGGCCCAATCCCCACAGGCCAGGCCGAGGAACCCCACCGATGCATGAATCCGTGCACTGGGCCTCTAGTGTTGAGTAAAGTGAAATACTAAACCTTCTAACATTAAATAATAATGGCAGCAAAAATAACATCTTTATTCATTATTATTATTATTATTATTATTGTTATTACATAATTCCCTCCTTAAATTTGGGTCACTTCCATGTGACAAGCAGTAATACAATTACGGTTGCTTTTATGTTTTCCCCAGGAATGCCTTTTTTTCTGATAGGATATATCCAATAATATTAATATTTTGCCCATTAATGCTAGGATTAAAATACATTATACTCTATTTATTAAGACTATAGTATCTGTCCTTCCCTTCTTTCCCCTCTCCCCCCAAATTTCCTGGCTACAATGTCTAGTTACATTTGGGTCTCTCATATTCTTTTCCTTTATGAAACACTAACTAACCCAAACAACTAAGTATAACTTGCTAATAGTCTTTCCTTCTGCCTTTGTCACTCTTTTTTATTTTTATACTATTTTTTTGGGTGGGGGGAGAGTAAATTATTGAAACCTTTGTAAAGAATGAAACTATATTCTGATGATGGAAATTTTCCATCAAAATATTTAAAAAGCCGTCCTCCCCTTGTATTCAAGAAACAATCCCTCCATTTCAGACTAGCAAATCAGGGCCGAGAGAAGTCTGAGGTCTCCTTTAAGTGGCACAAGTACTCCTGTTCCCAGCCTGAGGCTTCATTCCAATATAGGAAAACTTGTTTGATGGCAGCTATCCAACTAGACATTTTCTTTTGAGGCACAAAAATTCTCAATTACTGTTTATTGAATATGGGATTTCTTTTGGTTTAAATCAGAATGCTTCTCAGCCGATTAACTAGATCAAACACAGAAAAATGTCAACATTGAAAATATGCCCATTTTATTACATCCTGAGGTAGTTATTTAGCTAACACTTATAGAATACCTACTATACAGCAATATCTCTACCAGGTGTGGAAATTGAAAGATGATTAGACATCTTCCTTAACATTGAGGATTTCACCAATTAATTATTGAAGAAAAAATTTATACTGCAATGGGATCAGTGATATAGTAGAAGAAAAATAGCTAGTGTGATAGAAATACAGAAGAAAAAGCTCTGAAGGAAAATTTTTCATGAGTTTCCAACTTAAGTTTGAACTTGAAGGATGAGGAGAATTCTCCTGGTCAGATGGGAGTGGGGCAATGATAATGGAATAGATATTTTGTAAGGCCAGACAAGATCAGTGCTCAGTAGGTACAGGTTGAGTGGATAAAACAAATGAAAGCATGAGCTGACTACAGGCAGCGGTGTGCTGGTGTTCCAGCTCTCTGGAGGAAAACAAAAACCCTGATGTGTAGCAATTGCTGATTTATGTGGAATGCATATTCCCACCATGGCCAATCTCAAACTCCCAACATGACATCACTGATTGCAGAGTTAGGAGGAGATGTGCACATTTGGCACTTGCCAGCCAGTATGAACCGACTCTAGCCCACTGCTGACTGTACAGCAATCCATATGTGTTTGTGGAATGCAGGAGCCTATAAATGAATGAATGAACAAACTACACTATTCCAGGGCAAGAACCGAGATGGTTAAAGGCACAGAGATCTGAGAATTCATCACCATGTCCATTAATACCAAGCTCTGTGAGGTACATCAGGAGAAGAGAATGAATGGGGAGTTGGGCTGAATATAGAATGCCATGTTCTGGGGTCTGACTTTATTCAAAAGGTATCAGGGCATCATCAAAGCTTTGGAAGAGAAAGGGTACCATGACTAGATCTATGTCTTAGATGTGCCTTTAGCCATAATTCCATGAAGACAACATTGTTTGCCTCAAAGTATAAACACAAATGTGAATGGCTAAAACCTTACAAAAATTTCAATATGCAGAACAGCTAAAGCCTCCCTTTTAATGAAACACAAGGGTAAGAAATCCTTCAAAGTTCTTATTCCATTGTTGGAAATTATTTCTTTATTTAATCAAAAGCAGTCCCAATGAAGCTTAGAGTCAACCAACAGAAGCAAAAAGATTTTGAAGCACAGTATACATGTGAACTCAAATGTAAATAATGAAGAAAGATGAACTATATGATGTCTGACTGGCTGAGTCACACAGGATACAAAGAAATTACTTTAAAGGCCACCATGACACCCAAACTCTTTCTGCATTACAGACTCTATGTCTCAGAAATTTGGGTTTGTACATATACATACATTGCCCCAAATTGATGTCTTTACTTTTTGAAACCAGCAGGTCCTTCTCCCAACCAGACACCTTACCTACAAAGAAATCTTACCTAGAAATATTGTCAGGTGAGCAAGCAGAGATGCTGGTCTCCATGCTATCAGAGCTGTCTAGGCTCAAAGTATCAAAGGCCTGGTCCTTGTAGCCGTGATCTGGGTAGTGGAAACTGTTCAAGTAGACATTTGATTCCGATGCTGTGCGGTTGTAAAACTCCGAAGATTTCTGCCTTTGTCCTTCACTCATCTGTTGGTGATTATACCCTGAGGAAAGAGCCATAAATATGTTACTGTGCCTCATTTTTCAGTCTTAGATCTTATAAGACTCAAACTAGCAACCCAAAACATCTGCCTATGAAACTTGGCCCTTGGTCTACTTTGTTTTGAAGCCAAGAAGATCAAAGAAACAGCATCATGCTCAGTGCAAGCACCAAATTCAAAGAAGTGGTCTTGTGAGTGATCTTTTTTTTGTCAGTGGACCACTTGACACTTTCCTATGCCATTCCCACATCTCTGCACAAGTGAGACTAATATTATCAGCACACACAGAAACACAAGAAAACCAAAACAGAAACACAGTGAAAGGCCCTGAATCCTTTCAAAATAGCTGGGTTCACATCAGGGCAAAATGACTCCTAGTGATAGGCAACAGTAGGGTCTTAGGGCAGTCACCTTTTTAATGATATTCATATTTAAGGGATACTCGATCTGGTCATAAAAGAGCAGGTGAATCATTGAGGTGTAGGATTTGAGACACTTATCATTTACTCATCATCACTAACACTTTCAATCTGGTTAAGAGACAAACTGTACATTTTTCTCATTCTTTTTTTTATTTCCTTATTTTTACATTACTTATTTAAAATATTTAGAGTCAGCAATCCTTCCAATGGTTGTACTCAGCCTAATTACTTTACATATAGTAAGTCCTAACAGCATCGATAGATTCTTGAAACTGTGGTGAAACGATCATACGAAAACCAGTTTTCTCACAGGCTAATTGATATAAACAAGAGTTAAGTTTCTATGGCATCTCATCAGTACTATAACAAAACATCATTATTCGAGGACCTGTAGATATAGCTGTCTTCTTTTTCCATATGAACCGCCAGCCCTCTGTCAGTTGGTGATATTGACCACATGGCAATGTAGGAGCTACATCAATAGCAGCAAAGGTACCATTACTAAGAGGTGTTCTCCGTACCCTGGTGCCTGGTCAGCTGTGCATTGGGTCATTGGCTTTACTTTGCATTATTGCTACAGCTTGTTCTGTAGTAGCGGATTTGGGGCATCATAAATCGAGTTTTTCTTTCCTTTCAATTCTCTATGTACCATACATTCAGGAAGCAGGGGTCATACTGATAAACAATTTCTTCTATTCATTCATTGCTTTAGCCAGTACTGTAGTTTGCAATCTCTTTCTCTCTGAGTAAACTGACTATCAGACCTATCAAGAGCTTACAATTGGCCCATTTGAATTTTGCTTATCTTTCACTGAGGCTTTGAATTGGCAATGAAATGTCCAAAAGCAGGCAAGAGAGAGAGAGAGAAGGCAAGTGATTTCAAACAGTTTCCTCCGTTGTTGATTAAATGTTTCAATTTAAAACCAGAGCTACATGCATGATGCAAAGCATCACACACCAAAGGCTACTGTAGAGTGATTTCAGTTCTATGAGTTTTCACACATTAAAATTTGGAACAGTTTTAGGTATCTAAGTGAAAATATGGCCTGTTTTAGGTATCTAAGTGAAGATAAGGCCTCTTCTGGAAAAAAAGTTTTTGAAATGAAATTATAATTATCCTATCTAATAAAAGAGAAACATGGTAATTGGTGTACGACTGCTACCCTTCCCATTGGCTAATCAGGGCGCTATGCAAATGAACTGCCAGCCAAGATGGCGGCCGGCAGCCAGGCAGCTTAAACTGAACATGAGGCTTGCTTGCTTCAGTGACGGAGGACTGCAACATTCCCTGCCTGCCTTGCCGGCCTCTGAGCTTGCAGTTTAAAAAACATTGTAACAAATATAGAAGCTAAACAAAACCCCAGAAACCAGCTTTCAGAGAGCTGGGTTCTCAGAGCTGGAGTTGATACAGAGTTTCGATTATAGAACCGAAACAAACCAGATACCTGTTTTCAGCAGCTGAGGCCTCAGAGCTGGAGCCAAGCCTCAGAGCTAAAGCTGGCCCAGAATAAAAAGAAAAAAAGGAGCAGTTGGGAGCTTCAGTCCCAGCCTGAAAACAGCCCTCAGCCCCTCAACCAGACTGGCCAGGCACCCCAGTGGGGACCCCCACCCTGAAGGGTGTGTGTCCAGCTGCAAACAGCCATCATCCCCTCATCCAGGCTGGCCAGGCACCCCAGTGGGGACCCCCACCCTGATCCAGGACACCCTTCAGGGCAAACCAGCTGGCCCCCACCCATGCACCAGGCCTCTATTCTATATAGTAAAAGGGTAATATGCCTCCCGGCACTGGGATCAGCGTGACAGGGGGCAGCGCCCAAACCCCCTGATCACCTTCGGCTCTGTGTGTGACAGGGGGCAGGGCCACAATGTCCCTATCGGCCCTGCTCTGTTCGTGACAGGGGAAGGCACCCCAACCCCCTGATCGGCCCTGCTCTGTGCCTGATAGGGGGGAGCTCCCCAACCCCCTGATCACCCTGCGGCTCTGTGTGTGACAGGGTGCGGAGCCCCAACCCCCCCACCCCACGGGCCCTGCTCTGTGTGTGACGGGGTAGAGCCATAACCTCCCCATCGGCCCTGCCCTGAGTGTGAGAGTGGCGGCGCCCCAACCCCCTGATCGGCCCTGCTCTGTGGGTGATAGAGGGCGGCGCCCCAACCCCCTGATCCTCCCTGCTCTGTGTGTGACAGGGGGCGGTGCGCCAACTCCCCTATCGGCCCTACTCTGTGAGTGACAGGGGGGAGCTCCCCAACCCCCTGATCGGCCCTGCTCTGTGCATGACAGGGGGGAGCTCCCCAACCCCCTGATTGACCCTGCTCTGTGCATGACAGGGGGCAGCGCCCCAACCCCCTGATTGGCCCTGCTCTGTGGGTGACAGGGGGGAGCTCCCCAACCCCCCAATCGGCCCTGCTGACTGAGGGTGGTATCGCAACCTCCCAATCCGCCCTGCTCTGTGCATGACAGGGGGTGGCGCCCCAACTCCCCAATCGGCCCTGCTCTGAGCCCGACCAGGGGCTGCACCTAGGGATTGGGCCTGCCCTCTGCCACCCGGGAGCAGGCCTAAGCCAGCGGGTCGTTATCTCCCGAGGGATCCCAGACTGTGAGAGGGCACAGGGCGGGCTGAGGTACCCCCCCCCCAAGTGCACAAATTTTTGTGCACCAGGCCTCTAGTCCTATATAATAAAAGCATAATAATAAAAGGGTAATATGCAAATTGACCCTAACAGTGGAATGACCAGGAACGACTAGTCGCTATGACGCGCACTGACCACCAGGGGGCAGATGCTCAATGCAGGTCAGTGTGCTCCCACAGGGGGAGCTTCGCTCGCTGCAAGTGCAGCAATGGTGGCGGGAGCCTCAATGGCAATGCTACGAATGTCTGATTGCAGTTTAGGCAGGGAGCGGGCCTAAGCTGCAGTTGGACATCCCCCAAGGGCTCCTGGGCTGCCAGAGGGATGTCTGACTGCCAGCTTAGGCCCAATCCCCTGAGAAGCAGGCCCAAGCTGGCAGGTGGACATCCCCCAAGGGGTCCTGGACTGAGAGAGGGCACAAATTTTCATGCACCAGGCCTCTAGTCCTATATAATAAAAGCATAATATGGTAATTAGACTGCATGTCCTCTAGGATGTCCTTCCAGACGACCTTCCTGATAAAGCTGGGGCTGCAAGGGAAGCCTGGGTCCCGGGTGCCAGAGGGAAGCTGGTGCAGGCAGCTAGGGGAAGGAAGGCCTACTCTTGCATGAAGTGCATCAGGCCTCTAGTAAATTATAAATACCAACATGCACGCACACACACACACACACAAACATGTAAAAGCTAAATATCAGTAAGGCAATATGAAAAATATAAATGCACACCATGAGATTTTAGGCAGATTGCCATTACTTGTAGTGATTAATGCATAAAGCATTAAATGAAGCAAGTATAGTCATGAGGAGCATGTGCTTTAAAAAAAAATAAGGCAAACAATTCATTAGTCAAATATTTACCTTTGATATTTGAACTTTTAGAATTACTAATTGTTCCTTTAAAATTTTTTTTAAATTATTCATTAGGAAAAGGAGGAGGTCAAAAAACTCACTAGAAATTATTTAAAAAGGTCATACATGTATCTTGCCTATGCTTTCAAAAGGTTTGTTGTCAAAGAAAAGTTCCACAGTGACACCAACTACACGGATGACATTTCCTTGTTTTAGTATGAAAAACAAATCCCTAAAAGACAACCATATAATTGAAAACATTCAAGAATTATCTACTTGGCAATGACATGTGCCATGCCTCAACTTCCCCTTTGCCTCCAGTTTTTCATAATGAGGAAAAGTCAATCCCTATGATGCAATAACATTTCCTTAGAAAAGCAGAAAGGAAAGTGAGTATATTTCTTCTTAAAACAATGCACGCCCTGCTCCTCAGATCTTCCAGGAGTCCTGTCCCCACCCCCAACCCCCCACCAAAAGTATCACAGAATAACCAAATGAACTTAATATCTTCAGGTGAGGCTAAAATCATTCAAAATTTTCAGATGCAAGCACGAGGAAAAGCTATGTGAGAAGGTGTACTGTGCTAAGGATTGCGCACGTAAATTTCCCAGATCCCCCATTATTTGTTGAGGTTTGGCTCTATGTCTTAGAGAACCTTCCACCATTCAGGTGGTAAAATAAGCCTTACATTTTCATGGCAACTTAAATGAAAAAGCCAGCTGCCGATGAGCACGTCTTTCACAATGCAGGACTTTCGTTTCCTGCGGACCCAATGTGAATGGAAATGTTCTACCTTAGGAAGCTTCTCATTTCTCCCAACAGGCAACGTTTTATTGGCCACGATGAACTCAACTGTCACCTGGCTTAGCCTCCTCCCTCCTGAACAATTGAAGAAAAAAAAAAAACCACACCAAGTTGCCCTTGCAATTACAAATAAGGCCGTGGAGCTCTCCTCTGTGGCTCTGGAATCGTGCCAGGGTGATGCCAAAGAGCTGGCTTTGGGATTCAGGCTCAGGCTTGGCCATCCAAAGGTGTAGGTACTTTCATTAGAGGAGGGGGCCTGAGTGGTGCTGGTGCAGTGAGGTAGCACAGAGGACATACCTATGTCCTGTTCATCACAGATTCCCTATTTAGTTAGCATATGGATGTCATGAAATAAAGAATCACTCAATGAATTCATGTTCTCATCTATAAATGGCAACCAAATTAGTGGCTAAGTAAAGAAGTGGAATGCATTTACTTTCCAAATTAAGTAAGTGGATTGGGAAAAACGAGGCTTTTCCAACCCCTGAGACTGCTTGTTTTAAGTTATGCAGCAAGAATAACATGCAGCAGTAAAAAGGGCCTTGTAGATGCTTCAAATCCTTCCTGTCTGGACAGAAAAAGCTATTTGAAAGGGCATTTTATAGGGTTTATAAAGTGAGATCTGACAGCTGAGACCAGTCACTAAGCATGGGCTATACAAGGACCCCAAACAACTCAACTCTCTTCACTGCCCAAGAAGAGCCAATATTCTGCACATGCAAGGTCCACTTACTATTAGTTTTAGTGCCAGCCTCTGTGAATTCTGGGTAATTGGACCTGAGAAGTCCTGTGTGAGCTGACCATTATGAGATACACAGTCTTGCTCATATTTTCCAAATGTGTGGTATATACTTTAAACGCCTATCTAGGCCTTAATATAGAAATGACTTAAAATTATAACCTGGGTTTAAGAGGACAAAATCAATCCATACTTCTGGCAATTCAGCCTTTCATAGCTCACCTGCTGAGAAATTCATTCTTCCTAACCATATTCCACAGCCGGAAGATGAAGGCACAGGACAAGTCAGGATGGAGAGAATGACAGAGAAAGGGAAAAAGATACAAGATCAAAAAGGATGACCAGAGGACAGGAAAAAGATACGACACTTCAACATGCAGTCATTGTCGGTGTTAGTGACGACAGCAGATTGACAAGGCAAGATGTTCACATCTTTAGATTAAATCTGAGTTTATAGAGAACTCAAGAAGCTAAAAAAACACAAACAATAAGCTTATAATACATGCACACAGTCAAAAAAAATTTCTTAAGGAAAAAAAAATCTTTCACATACATCAGTCAACCAGAAAATAGGGAGAATAAAAACATGATTATAGCTATAAAACAGTTCATTTTTCCCCATGCAGACAGTAACAAATTGTTTTTAAGAGCGAAGGTTTGTAAAATGTCATTCAATTATTTGAAGCAGTGTCCATCAAAGTGTATAACTCAGTTCCCTAATATCCTACATCTCTATCAGCTAGCCACAGTAATTACATCTTATTGATTCAGGCCAGCTGGTTAAACTGTTCTTCACTCTCCACTAAGTCTTTCACATGAAATAGTCTTACATGGAATGATTAAGTAGGAGCCCTTTAAATCTTTCCATCTTCCCACGCAGCCTGCTTTATTTATACCCGGTCTTTATAAAGGAGTAGCCTCATGTCTTACACTTAGCCTATATACACCACAAGTCCCACTCTTTCCCTTATCTAGATCCTGAGTGTTACAAAACAATGCTTCCAAAGCATTCACGCTTCCTGCATGGTCTGTCCTTGTCATAAAAAAAAAAAAAGCAAAACAAAGAAGGTCATGCAGCTGCCTGTGAATGAATGGCAGCTGCACCCTGCAAGGGTGCAACGATTTTTCTCCATTGTGTAAAAGGAATAATCATCAGACTAAAAATCTGCCATTGTACAGTTTTAAATCTGATCATTTCTTAAAGATGACTTCACATTGACCTTTCACTACTAGCTGGAAACAAAAACACCACACAAGGAGGTTGTCATACCTTTCTTGGACTTTCCTGCATTAAACAAAAGACAAAAGGACAAAGATTTCATTCATTCTAAAGCTCAAAAAGCAATAGTTCACAAGTTGTACAAAAGCCAATAACCATTACAACTTTAAGAGCCGAGTTCCTGGGCTGTCTGCTTTCAACTCTGCCCTCGAGGACCTTTGTCTGCATGATTCACATTGTTGGTTCCATTAAAACAATGCTGATTGCGGGAATGGCTTATACTTACACCATGGTCCTTGATGTATCCGTGATGCACAAACAGCAAAAAAAATAGCTCATTTAAGTTAACTGTGTAAGTCAACAAAAATGGTACGATCTATTACATTTGAGTTGATGAAAATGTGTTAGATCCAAACTTTCTCAAAACCATGAAATTTTACTTGTATTTTAGTGCTCATGAAACAATTCTAAATGAAATGATGATTCAACCCTCCAGGTCACTGGGCCACCAGTATGGGCTCAACAGAAAATCCTGCCAAATTTAAGGTCTGCTGTGGCTCTAAGAATTGCGGCCCCCAACCCCTCGTCCTCCACATGGGGGAGCCACAGGAGACAGGCTGGCCTCACAAGACACATCTCATGCAATTGGATCAACACACACGATGCTTCTCCATTTCCTCAGAAGCCGTCTCATCAGCACCACAGAAACGCTTTAAGGAACACCACTTTAGCTGCAGTAGGAAGACTGAAGCGGCAGTCTTCTCGGGTGTACCAAAGACCTACCAGCGAAGAACCAGAGCAAAAAGATCAAAGACAGTATATTTTACAGAGGGCACTTCCCTTCGGTGACCTAAGAGAATCAGATCCATTTTCCTGTATGAATGGAGCTTAGGGATTCCCAGTATTTGAAGGGAAAACAGAGACTAGAATATTAGAGATGAAACATCCCTTCGTTTCACCATATTCTCACGAGGGTCATCTTACATGATAATGTTAATACCTCTTATTTTTACAAATCCCTGTAGTATAAAGGTCTCGTTTTCCTTACTCTCTATTTTAAGAAAATGTTTTTAAAATAAAGTATGGTATTGGGGCCAATCCAAGCTTTGATGTCTTCAGCCACTGAGAAAAAATACATTTAAAAAGAAGTCTATAAATATTGCAGAAAAATGCTTCAATAAAACACAGTCTTGACTCAAATGAACGGTAATAAATGAGAGCTAAAAGGTACTTTTATGTTTATTATTTATAAATCATAAGAGCTATTTTTAGCTTCAGAAATTATTGTAAAACAAAAATAACAGGCCCTGGCTGGGCAGCTCAGTTGGTTAGAGCATCATCCCAATGTGCCAAGGTGGCAGGTTTGACCCCTGGTCAGGGCACATACAAGAATCAACCAATGAATACATACATAAGATAAATAAGTGGAACAACAAATCGACATCTCTCTCTTTCTCTTTCTAAAAATCAATACATAAAGCTTAAAAAAGAAAACACAAAAGTTCAATCAAATGTATTTTATTTAAATGTAACATAAACCTATCATACATTACAAACCTCTCTTCTGACTACTACACACTCTATTAACTATTAACTAATTTCTAATAATGATTCAAAAACCTCGCTCAAGCTCTAGCTCGTTGCTCAATGGTTAGAGCACTGGCCCTCAGACTGAAGGGTTACAGGTTCAATTCCAGTCAAAGGCACATGCCTTGGTTGCAAGCTTGATCCCCTACTCCGGGTCAGGGCGAGTGTGGGAGACAACCAATTGATGTGTCTTTCTCACATCGCTGTTTCTCACTGTCTCTCCCCCTCCCTTCCGTTCTCTCTAAAAATCAATGGAAAAAATATCCTCTGATGAGGATTAACAACAACAAAAAAAAAAAAAAAAAGGAAAGAAAAAACAAACAAACCTCACTCAAGTGATATATATGTATATATACAAAAGTTATACACATACATATACACATCACACATACATACATATATATACATACCAAAATGTATATATTTTTTTCCTTTTTTTTTGTCTGATAGAAAACCGGTGATTATCCCCTGATACCATTGGCAGAGAGGCTGAGCAGTCAGGATGGAATCCCAGCCTGCTTGGAGGGAAGAGATTCAATCCCACTGGAACATGAGCACATTTAGGGGCCACATGCCCACCACTCTATCAGCCTCCGCATTTACATCCTTCCACACCTCAATCACATTTACCACTTTTTACTGAAATTATCTGTTATGTGTCTTTTCCCCTCACCAGACTAGAAGCATTTCAAGGGCAAGAATCATGTCATTCATCTGCATTCTTGGTCTCTAGCACCCTGCCTATTCAAAAGTGAGAGCCAGCCTGGCTGGTGTGGCTCAGTGGTTGAGCGTCGACCCATGAACCAAAAGATCACAGTTCAATTCTGGGTCAGGGCACATGCCTGGGCTCAATCCCCAGTAGGGTGTGTATAGAAGGCCGCCAATCAATGATTCTCTCTCATCATTGATGTTTCTATCCCTCTCTCTTCCTCTCTCTGAAATCAATAAAAACATTTAAAAAAAAAGTGAGGGCCAATACGAGTATAAGTTGTTGACCTAAGCGACTGTGTTAACACAATAAATCTAATCTCAAGAAGACTCTCACAGTTGGAACTGTATTGCAGCTATTTCTTCTAGCCCACAAAGACTATTTGAGAACCCCGTTATAAATGCAATGCATTTTTACAAAGAAATAAAATACCCTGAGAATCAAAGTCTACCTGAAACCTCACAACCACATTAGAAGAAAGGCTCAAACCACATTAAAAGGCCTAGGGGAGTTTGTCCTGGGTCACTGGTGCTCCAATTACTGTGTCAGTTCAATGAATCTTTAGCACATGTTTCAACACAGTGGCTCAGCCACAAACCAGGTGAGTGACTTAGGGTCTCTCTTTTCTTTCTACCTATAAAATACAAAGGTTAGCAATTCTCTAGGGGCATTTCTGGTTTGAGAATACTATTGCATTTCTGAAGTGAAAAATTTGAAACATACCAGTCATATGTGTATATAGGAAAAGTTACCTTAGTATAACAATTATCTATCTATCATCTATCTATCTATCTATCTATCTATCTATCTATCTATCTATCTATCTATCTATCTATCTATCTATCTATCATCTATCTATCTATCATCTATTCCTTCCCCAAAGGGGACACATGAAGAGTGAAATCAAGGGCTTTGCTTGCTGCCCTTTTAATGATCCTCAACCTTGCTCTCCCTCCCTCTCTCTGAAGAATTTTTATGCTTAACAAAAGGCATCCCATTTGATTTTTAAAGTGACATACCTCTGAGCATCCTCCGAGATTCTGAGTCTTTGGTCATGGTTGCCAGCGAGTGAGGGAGCACACTGCCACAGCTGTTGCTCTGTCCCAGGGGCAAGTGAGCCTGCGAGAACCGGGAGGAAACACTTCAGGCAAACTGCAGCCCAGTGGTCCTTCAGGACACGGCCACATCCCTGTTTCCACGGCGCCTATCTAAGCACAGAGGGCAGGACAGGAAGGTCTTCCAACCCGTTTGTGGACGCTCAATGATAAAGACCAGTCACTGTCCCTCCCAAGGAGCTCCATGGAAGTCTCCATATCACAGCAGTTCCTCCAGTGGCAGCAATTCCAAAAGACAGGGAAACACTTGTTCTCCAAAACCATGATTGAGAGCAACTCAAAGTTCTGCATGCATAAGGAGCAGAGGGCAGAGGCAGGGGCAGGAACGTGCAGGGCATGCACCAGGACAGAGCAGACCTACCCTGTGACACGGGTGCCAATTTCCACCTCCCCCAGTTATCTAATGGGCTGAAACCTGGAGAAATCTATAAACTCCTCCAGTGGTTCTAGAACTCTCTTTAATAGCAAAACCCTTTACGTAAAATATTCTTGGAACACCAGTTTATAAAACAGAACACCAGTTTAAAACAACGTTATTCTGACTAAGGTCAAAGGAAGGGCCCCAAAGCCTGTCCCCTCAGCGCCTCCTTGTCACCTCCCTTTCCTCCTCTTCCTGCAATGACCCCTCAGGCATATCAGCAGAGCATAAATGAGGGTTTAGGCATCAGACCACATGGTTCATATTCCAGCTTCATGGCTAACCAACTAAGGGCACTTGGGCTAGTCACTTAGCTTCTTTATACCTCAGTTTATCCATATGTACAATGAGGATAGCAATTAGTATCTCTACTGAATAGTCTTGCTGGATTTTCAAATCAGACAATCCGCATAAAGCACTTAGCCCAGTGTCAGGTTCAGAAATGACTCAATAAAAATCTGGTCCTATTATTCCTATAATCCAGAGCTTGTATCTTCCAATTTCCAGCTGTAGGATGCAGCCACAGGAGTCTGCCACATGAATGCCACCTACCACTTATGTGGTGGTGGCAGAAAATACCCTGGACCAGGTTCTTTGGTCCCAGAGCATACAATTCCAAATGTCCTCTGAATAAGACAGAAAATGCAATTCAGTCATAATGTCTGCCCAACAAGCAAACTTAATGATTTATTATTTAGCATTTTCTTTAAGGACCTTTGAGCATCTGTCAACATAAGGACGAGAAGACTCCCTGAATGTGAAGCCCACAGTTCTCCCCATGTCCTACCTTCGGGGCGGTGCTTCTCCCCATAGTAGCACTGCTGAAGTGTGGGGATATGGAAGGAGTGCTTTTCTTTCGAGGCAAAGTGTCACTCAGATAGAGGCCTTCTTTATGCTGTTTTTTCCTTTCTTCCAGACTTCTAAAGTGCTTTAAATGCAAATGTAAAGCAGAATAGCAAAACTTGACTAATTGCAACAGGTCACTGAAGAAATTAAGAAGTATGCATTTACCAAGAAGTTTGGGAATTTTAACAAAATTTTTAAAAATCCAACTCATACTTGTGTTCACTAACAGACTTGGGCTAGCTAGCATTCGGTAAGATGCACAGGCAGTAGAAGAATTTTTTACTGAACCTAGAAACAAAAGGAAAAAAAAATCCACCTTTCAGTCTCATAGTTAGTGCCTGCTGCCTTGGGGCCTCAGGACAACTTACAAATGATTATGATGGTCGCCATGTGGATGGCGGAACAGCCAGTGGACAAAGCAAGTAAGCAGTTTCTCCCCTTGTCTGTCTGGACAGTTCTGTGTGGTGGCACAGATCCCAGTGTGAGGAGAACAAGAAAAGGGAGAAGGAAGAAGACGGAGAGAAAGAGCAAGTAAACAGGGGAGTTGTTTTAAGGTTGGAATAATATTTCAATCACATAAACACACTCCAAATCGGCATAACGTTTCCATAAAAGGCATCCTTCTAGGTTACTCTTTTATTTAAAAAAGATCTTGGCCAAGAAGCCCCTAGAATAATTCCTCACATAAAAAAACAAAGCCCTCCTGTTGACTATTTCTTTTTTTTCCCTTTCAGATTCCTAAGGCAAAAATTTGCCAACTTGACATTTATCCAAAATTTCCTTGGCCTCTCAAAAAAAAAAAAAAAAAAAAGTCTTCAATAGTGAAGTTATTTCCTAGTTAAAGCTTCTTTAGGTTTGATCATTGTTATCCTCAGCTTGGGCTTTTGGAATATGTAAAAATTAATGCACTTTGAGTTACCAAATTCCTTCTTCTTCTTTACACGTGCCAATTATGAAACATATCTGCATAAATACTTATAGTAGCTAATACTTACTAACCTAAAAGTACTGGGGAGATAAAGTTCTTTAACAGAGAGTAAAGATACCTTCATGAAATGTAAGGGCTGGCATGGCACAGCAGGGCTTGCCTATTTTGGGGAATCTAGTGTCTATGCTTCCTTATGATCTTCTGGGGCCCAATTCACATAGGAATTTGATTATAATTTAAAGGAGGCTCATAACAGATTTTTTAAACACAAGCATACATATGCACTGAATGTAGTAAAAGGAGGGCAACATTAAGAATTATAAAAATATATATTTTAATCTGGTCAATATGAACTGTTGTTCTATGGCCCCAAAACAATACTTGGGTGACACTGGACAAGCTATCTACTATACTGAGCCTCAGTTCCCTAAATGTCAATATGCAGTTAATTCATATTTCATGGGATATTTGAAGGGAGAAATGAGATATTTATTTGTAAAATGTTTAGGAAATTTTGACACAGAGTAAAGGAATGATATCTATTATGGTTTCAATAATGTTTAAAAATGTGTGTTGACACAGCAACTTTTATACCATGAATTTTATGGATAAAATAATTATTATTTTGAAAAGACCCAAGATAAGTTGCAATATTTTGGTTGAGTGAAAACTAGTGTATGAGGATATAAAATTAGCTCAAATATATCAAAACTTAGGAGAGGACAGTCAAGGTCCCAAAGTTATAACATTCCCCACACCCTTAGGCCTCACTAAATGTCCTTTAAAAAGAAAATCAGCAAAGGAGTATGCACCTTGTCTTTTTAAGAAATTTCTTTGCAAAAGTTGAAGGAAAGATTTCCAAGCTCTGAACACCAGTTCCTAATTACCTGTTGCTCCTGCTGCTGCTGCCTTCTGTGTTTCTTAGCTGGCAGAGGAGGAGGTGTGTCATTTAAAGGGAAGGGATTGACAGACGGAGCCATGACTTCAGGCCAAGGGGCTGATGGAGGTTGAGTGACAGGATGAGGAGAAAGGGTAGAAGGAAACATAAATCCAGGACAGACAGGTGATCTTTGCTTTATGGAGAAAAAAAAAAGTATACATGTGTCCATATAAAATGAAAGAATAATGACAAAGAAATGAAATAATCTCATTGTTCTCTTTTTCTTATATTTTAATCAAGAAATCACAAATGATAGGCTGTATCTTTCCATTTAGCCTCTAGTGAAAACCCCAACCTGCAAGCAACTTAGATCAACAGACGGTATTTTCACTTATTATTATTTGCCCCTTTCCAGATGTTTTAAAAAGACATAACATTAAAAAAATCCATACTGCAAAATGTAACAGAAAATAAAATTGCCCTAGCCAGTTTGGCTCAGTGGACAGAGCGTCAGCCTGTGGACCAAAGGGTCCTGGTTTGATTCTGATCAAGGGCACATACGTTGGCTGCAGGCTCCTCCCTGACCCGGGCCCTGGTCAGGGCTCATGCAGGAGGCAACCAATCAATGTGTTTCTCTCACATCGATATTTCTCTCTCTCTAAAATCAATGGAAGAATATCCTCAGGTGAGGATTAAAAAAAAAAAAAAAAGAAAGAAAACAAAATCAAACTGGAAAGGTGATTCAAACCAACAATTTTAGAAAGACTTTTGATTTTTAAGAAAGCTAGATCAGGTTAGAGTACTCAGATATAGAGTTTATGATTTCGAACTTACTTCTAGTCATCCACTCTGTCCCATATATTTCATGGTTTCTTGTATTACAATTGGTAGAGCAGTACCCCCAAATTGGTATGTTTTTCAAACTCAGTATCACTTTGACCCTCTGGTCAACCAGACGTGTATTTGTCACAAGTGCCCTCATTTTCAGTTAACCAGGGTTAATTTTGACATGAGGAAAGCAGTGAATGAATGAAATGTCATGCCAACACACCTCTTTATTTTGTGGCTGGCTCACCAGTACAGCTGTGGTAGGCCCAGTGGCAACAGCATCAGCGTCAGCAGGGAACTGAGTGGAAGGGGATAGATTCGTGGAATTGCCACATGGCTCATTAATTTCATTTACACTGATATAGCCCTAAAAGGAGGAATTTAGAAATCAAACACAAAGAAAGCAAAAGCTGAGGCATGCGAGAGTATTAATGCTCTAATATAATGGAGTTAGCTTAGAGCGGCACGGCCAGATATCTGTGGTATTATCAAATGCTTCATCAGGGAGTTATCAGCAATTGAAATGGATTTACAGTGCTTAATCATGAAAAATGATATTCCAAACATTAAAAACAATTTTCCCGTTGAAATTATAAATAACCCAGCATCACTGATTTTAAAATACCCGGAGGTATCACCTTTCATTCTGTTGACTGAATGAGGTTGTCATTACACAACATTTAAAATAATCACACACAAATCAGAGATATAAAATTGACAATGTAATCATTCACTCTCTATTTCAAGAGCCTTTTCCACATTATTTTTAGATTTTTCTCTCTTCTTCTGTTTCCTGATAAATTAAAGTGTGAGTGAATGTGGGCTGAGGGCTACTGGTTTTTGCTCTAAGTCATTTATAAAACAATAATTTATTTGTAATGGAATCCAACTTTTAGGCATCTCAATTAAATGAGAATAAGAAGTACACTGTCCTCTAGTGTGCTTCTCCTAGCAAGACACATGAACACACACACACACACACACACACACACACACACACACACACACCCTAAGGTGGAGTTGCAACTTGAGGATGTTTCAATTCAAGGCAGCTCCCCCAACTCCCACTCTACTCCTAAGACAGAGAATTTCCAGTTACTTTAAATTCAGTGATTCAATTTTGGCTTCAGCATAAATACCCATAAGTCAAAGTCTATCATCTTCAAACTCCTGAATTTATATTTGAGGAAAAGGCACTTGCAAATTTTCATGGAAAGTAATTGTACAGACCAATCATGATTTTCACCACACCAATAAAGCAGTATGAAAAAAGAATAAAGAGTAGAAAATAGTATCTCTTTCAAAGGTAAAATAGTGTTAAATTTAACACTTAGGTTCTTCTATTAGCCCATCAATCTTTTTAAAAAATGGCTCAAACAAAGGCAAAATAACATTATGCTGATGAAGCAAAAATTCCAGGCTAGAAAGCAAGGCTTTACCGAGAATTGTAATTACGAGAAAGTAGAGAAAGTGGGAATTGACTGTTTATAAATTGTAGGTATCAAAATGCTGCTGAATTAGTCTCTCACTTCAGATAGAGGCAATGAATACTATGTAAAGTTTTATAAGATTAAATGGAAAAAAGGCAGTAGAAAACTGGGTTGTCCAAATTTCATTTTATCTTTGATAATGAATCAGAAATGAACAGTGACAACTTTTGAGTTATTCTTTTTCTCAGTGGATAGTAGAATGTTTCAAAGACCACAAAACCAAATTAATTTATTCAAAAATGTATGCAGCTTGTCAAAAGTGGGACTTGTTTAAAAGTTAGATATAAATTTACCACTCCTTAAAAACAGAGAGAGAGAGTGAGAAAGAGAAAGAGAAAGAGAGTAAAGTCAGAAAGAAAGAAAATCAAAACAACTTGTGCGTCAAGTTGATTTGGTCCATGAAAGAGAACACATAGCTACTCAAGAGAGTTGCAGACACACAAAAATAATAAATCCAAATAGCCTTTTGAAACCAGGAAGTCTGCAGAGAAAAAGAACAACTCACTCATTAATAGAAAAGGAAAGATTTTATTCTCCTACTAAGAGGTAAAGAGACCTTGGAGCCTACTTAATTCCTTGGATGCTATAAGCCTTTCAGACTCACTGTGTCCAGAGTCAAACTGCATATCTTCCCTCTTGAACCTATTCTTACCCGAGTCCTCCCTATCTTAGGAAAATGTACTCAGTATCCATCTCATTATTCAAACTGGAATAATGACATGGCCCCTGATATTAATTTACTTCATCCCCACATCCAGTCTATCAACAAGAACTGTCACCCCTGGTTCCAAGATCCTATACCCGCATCCAGCTAATTCTCTCCATTTCTGTGCCATTGCTTGACTCTGAGCCCCTGCATCTCCAGCCTATACTATTGCAATCACCACCACTCTGGCTTCCTGGCATCTCCTGCTCCTCCTCCGAATCCAGTAGAGCAGCCCAGAGTGATGCTTAACAAATGGATGTCAAGTGATGTCACCTCCCAGTTTAAAACCACTCAGGGGCTTCCCACCCATAGAAAATAAACCATGTTCCTTTAACATGGCTCACAAGACCTAGCCCCTGCTCACCTTGCTAACATTCTATATTTGGCTACACTGCATTCACAACCACCCTTTGTCCACTGAATCTGCCAGTTCTGGGTTCTGAATTATGGGAAAGAAACTATGAAACTGAATCATCTAATAAAGCTTTTGTGGAAACAGTTCACAAATTGCGTCTGTGGTACACATTAAGCACACCTGTTATGTGATGAACATTTACTTCACATACCCTTCCTCCCCCTACCGCCCCCCCCAAAAAAATACTTTCTATGCAGGAATTCTTAACTCTGATGTCTTTTTAAAAGCAATTTATAAATAAAGGGGTTATTATTATGCAAATTTTAGGTAGAAGCAAGCTTTTTCTTTAGCTTTTTGTAGAATATAAGTATAAAAAGTTTTCTTTCTTAGTCAAGGTTATACTTTTCCAAATTAGAGTTAAAACAGTCACCATTGTAGCAGTGTAGCTCTATAAAAAGATATTTAGGAAAGGAGAGTGTTAGGGTCTGGGGGAACATGGATGTTTGGGATAAAGAGTGTATATAGTTTAATATAAATAGGATTTTTCAATTTAGATGGAAAGTAGCAGAAATGACTTTGGGAGAAAAAAGAGAGAGAGAAAAGAAAGAAATCAGATTATCTTCTCAAATATAATGGGGAATTTTTATGTTTTAGGAGACTTAGAAGTAAAATAAAACAGAGGAAAAACTGAGAAAGGAAACTGCAGGAAGGAAAGAAGAGAATATAAGATTAGTTTTCTTCTGGAACCTAAATTTTTTGAAACACTGAGTTAACTCACAATGTCATTGTCAAGCAAAGTATGCACACACACGCACACACACACATACACACAAACACATACACACAGGGCATTTGCATAAGACACAAAAATAATGAAAGGCAGGAAGGCTATCAACACATGGAGTGCTTTCCTAAGTCACTTAAGCTCATGTTTTTCCTGTTCCGCTAATCGCAGAAGACTGAGGTGCACATCCTGATGTCTAAGGTGATATGAGTGGGCATGAAAATCACAGCTCACCTCTTTCAGAGTATTTGGGTTGACAGGAAACCCTTTCCCCCCAGAGAGGTTGGAGTATTTCTTTTCCAGATTACAAAGATTTTCCTTTTCCTGAAAGAACACAAAATCTATTAAGTTTGATCAACTTTGGATTTCCCTGATGACTAATGCTCTTTAACATTTTTTCAGATGACTTCATATATCTTTTGTAAAGTGTTTATATTTAAGTCTTTTGCCTGCTTTAAAAAAAATTATTTATTGGGTGTTTAAGTATTATTATTGAGTCATAGGAGTTTTTAATATATTCTGGATACAAGTTCTTTGCCATTTCCTCTTTAAAAAATCTCTTTCCTTACCCAGGGCACTTGCACTCCTATAATTTCTTCTGGAAACTTCATCACTTCAAGTTTTAAGTTTAGGTCTATAATCGCCCTCAAATTAATTTATATGTATGGTGTGAGAATGGATGGTGTTGAGGTACTTTTCTTCCTTGTTTACCCAGTTGATCCAGCACTACCTGTTGTAAATACTTTCCTTTCTCTACTAGATTTCTTGGAGCCTTTGTAAAAAATGAGTTAGACAGCATATGTGCGGGTCTACTTCTGGACTCTGTTTGTTTCCACTGATCTATATATCTATTTGCATGCTAGCACCACACACACAAGTAGTCTTAAATCCTGCAGCTTTATAGTAAGCCTTGAAGTCAAATAGTATAAGTTCTCCAACTGTGCTCTTGTTCAAAGCTGTTTTGGCTATACTATACTGTTTACATTTTCATTTACAGGCAATTCTCATATTTTGCAGTTAATGTTCCATTATGTTGCCATGAACACTGAATTAGTGAATGCAAAACCAGTGTCCCTAAAGGAATGACAGGGTTGGATTATTGTGAGCCTCTGTATTGATCAATCAGCAAATACACATAACTTTATTTTATGTGTGTTTCTGTAAATGATGGTCAAGTAAATTTTAGCATCAACCTGCCAATCTCTACAAAATGTCTGTTGGGATTTTTATTGCCATTGAGCTGCATCTATAGATCAATTTGGGAAAGTAATTTTAATACTTATGAACTATAATTTTTACAATAGAATTATGTTTCATGTATTTTTAATAAGGAAATGGTATTTCTGTGAGGATGCTTATCCATTTATAAAAATTTATCCCTAAGAAGCTTTTTCCTTTTCAGCTAAAATTTCAGAAACCGCTTACATATTACACTATATAATTTAATCTGTGCCCTTGACTGTTATGTGAAAGGGTAAAATGGTGGTGGGGAGGCTAATGGTGCTGAAGCAGAGTTCATCCCTAGGGCAGCGGAAAGGAATGGCAACTACAGCTCCATTCAGAGGCTTGTAGGTGCTGAAGAAGCAAGAGGAGAGGCGCTGCCAGGGGTTGGTATGGGTACAGAGGCACTTTGAATAAACTTATAATTCTATATAAAACACTGATTTTCCTCTCTATTCTCAAACTAAAAATACCTAAAAAGGGAACACTCCAGCTACATTTCTTGTAGGTGGGGTCATGGTACAGCCTCATTTTTTAATGTATCATCCGGGGTTTGTTTTTTTCCTGCACACCATTCTGGGTCCACCTCATATGATCCCAAATGTCACCTTCCTATGTACTGGCCTGCATGCAAGGCTTAGTTGGGAGACTAGGCCCTTCAACTCAAATTTCTGGTGCCTTATTCATGAAATTAGACTATGGCCATATCAGGAAATCTGGTTGTGGAGGAATCCCTTTGCATGTAGCCACTTTAGGGGTTGGGGTGTGGACATGGTCCCTTTGAAAGTCATTCTTAAATTGCAATCCACTGCTCACTATTAAAAGGCACTTGCTTTGAAGGAAATGACTTTCCCCACATTTCCAGGGCTGAAAAGGAAATACGTACTCTTTGCAGCATCATTATTAAATTATTCTTTTCTTTCACAAAGTGATCTTGTTCTCTCTGAGCCTGCTGGACAATGTGGTTGGCTTGCTTTTTCAATGCAGAAATTTTTTCCTGGCAGAAAAGAAGATGATCATAGAAAGATGCAAATTAGACATACAAAGGCTTGCCAGTCTGTCCTAGAAACAAGAGAAGAGGTGTTTATAGCTGGAATAACGTTCTCATTGACGGTTGGCCGATTGCTACCCAGAGGCAGTTTCCTAGACGGCCAAGCTCGCGGCTTTTCCTTACCAAAGGCCAACACAGTTTGAGCGGTTTGAAATCTATTTGAAGAACCCAGAAGTCAACAGGAAATCTTGTTTTAGACTACAAATGAATTTTTGGCATCATCTTGGGAGACGCCTTATGGGAAAAACAATGGAATTTCTTATTTAAACTGAGAGCATAAGATGTCACCTTCTCTATCTTCCCTTTGCTCAATTTTTTGGGTTTAGTCCAAAATGTTGGGTGTGATTCTAAATTCTGGAACAAGAGTTGATTTCTGGGCTGGACATCTGGGTGCTAGGGGTTGGGAGGAGTCAGTAATGTGCATGGCATTCATGGGGCTATTTCTAATGGTGACAAGCTATCAGCCAGCTTTGCGAACTATTGAGCAATGGACAGAGAAAGTTTCCAAATAGATTTTGTTCATACAATTATTCTGAAGCTAGTTACTATGACTGCAAAAGGAAGTAATTGAAAACAAATATCAAAATTTCTGATTTTCTCTAACTCGGTTTTCACATAAGAGAGAAAAATAGATATTATTTATAAATGCATCCACAGCATTAAGTAACAATGACTGTAACATGTAATGTTTATCTAGTTTAAAGCACCATTTGGCTCCATAATCTGCCAAATGTGATATGTGATTAAACACTCAAAGACATTCAGATGTAAAGACAGGCAGACAGACACATGCTATAGCTGTATTATTGATTATTATTGTTACACAGTGAGGGGCATATTATGATTTTTGTCTTGAATGACACCCGGCAGAAGTACCTTTCTAGTAACAATGTTCCGCTGATATTCAGCCACCTCACGCAAGAGCTGTTGGGTCAGGTTCTCCTTTTCCTCATCCAGACGGCTCTCATGCTCTAGCTGCTGGAATTCCAGGTCCTCAAAGTGTTTGCTCTCAACATCCAACAGGTCAGCATCCTTTGGAGAAAAGCAAATGAAAACAAGACACACTAGAATGGCTACAGCCTTTTTAATGTGAAAAAAAAAAATTAAAAGCAAATAGTCCAAAATATCTTTTCAATTACAACATCAAACAGGGTTATAGTATGGTAATCCTTCCTTTTGGAATTAACCCCCAGTGCAGAGACTGTTATTAGAATTGAAAAGGACTTGGGAGTAGGGGATGAGGACACATTTATTTCACCATCGATTTTAGACTACTTTGTGGACAGAGAAATTCTTGCTTTAAATCTACTGGGTGGTTTTAAAATGGATCACAAAGTATACAAAGAATTCAGTGAATAACCTAAATATTATATGTAGACCAAAGGTGTGACATAGTCTCTTGATAACATTCCCACTTTCCACAAATGGTCAAATAAAATGAGATTTTAGTTCAGTGATTAAATTCAAGATTTCAAAGTTGTTGACTGTAAAAAAAAAAAAAAAGAAAAGTTGTCATACATAACAGACCAGAGGTCTCTAAGAGGGATAACATGTCCCAAATGGCACACCACACAATCCACTAAGATGTGAAGAGAAAATATTAGAGCTCCTTTATACTTAATTTTAGTTTTTCCTTCCCTTTTATAATCCTCAACAAATGTTCTTTAATCTACATACAAGTAAGTAGCATATATACATTATTTAATATAAATATATATTTTTGAGCATGCATAAGTATATATATATGATCAACGTAACATATAGGCATGCATGCTCACATAATTTTATTGAAGAGAGGTGTAATCAAACATATTTGGAGATTGGGGTTCTTAAAAGATTGTTTATAAAACTTCTTAGTGGAAAGAAGGGACCTTAGCTCTCATCAGGCACAAAGAGAGACTCAGAGATTATACACAGTACTCAGGGTAATCTTGAGGACACTTAAGAAAGATCTGAAATCATAAAAATCAGATAATCTAGAACGGACATTCTCCAACTCATAAAATGCCTGAAGACAAGAATGAATCTGTATCTGTGCAAAAATCGACCTGTGTTGTATAAGTTATTCTCCAATTTACTTTTTAAAAAAATCCACCCTTTACTTTTGGAGAGTTTGACAGAACTATAAATGTGGTATGTATAGATTTTTAAAAATATATAATTTATAAATAATCTATGGCAAAAAAAGAAGAGGCAGCTGAACTATATGGATTACAGCTCTTCATAGGCAAAACAGCCAAGACTTTTTTTCCAATCAAAACATCAAAAAGAGATGAAAAAATAAATATATCATAAATTAGATCTGCATTAGCATTTTACTCCATCCACCTCCTAGTTTTTATGTAAGTGATAATAAATTAAGTCTTTTAACCAAATGGAATGTATTTCTATTTTATGGAATAATTTTATTCTGAGAATGATTCACAGAAGAGATATTAGCTACCATGTAACCCCTGTGATTAAAACCAACACTACAGCAACAGAAGTGTATTCTCAAAGCTTAAGAGCAGAAAAAACAATTTGAAAATTTATCATTTAAAACTTCTTTGCACTTTAATTGGCCAGAGTAAAATATGGTTTTGGTTTCAAGTTATTGTCTGACATTTCAAGTTTCTCAGACATTTCATGTTTATAATTTCTAAAGAAATGAATAAACTCAGACCAAATCTAGTCTCTACTGAAGAAATTAAGAGATAACTCAAGTATTATGTCTTGAAACAAGTATTAAGTCCTATAGTCTTGCAGCAATACATTAGCTGATATATTTATTCATACAGCTGTACACACTCATTTTTAAAGTCTTTCCATTAAACTTGGTTTGTGTCTAAATGTTATTGAGATAAAAATTTAACAAACCCTTTTTTTAGTTTATAGATAATCTACATTCAAAGTGGATATATGGCTCACAATATATACACTATGCTAGTCAGTCCCTCAATCCACATCTGGTTAACATGCAATATGTTATTTCAACCACACAAAGGTCAGAGAGTCACTAATTAATTTGTAGTAAATATTTAAACCACTGCATGACAATAATAGCAAACTAGGAAGGAAAACTAAAGCTAAACTCAGCACTCAGATTCCATAGGTGTAATCATCTGATCAAGTTATCTAAACTATCAAAATGTGTGTCTATAAACTTACACTGTGAAAGAAAAACAACTTGGGAGGGCAAAAAAACATTTAAAAGATATTAGATAATACAAATTTAGGGGATGAAAATTGGTCGCAGAAGCAGTTTCATCGAGTACAGAACAATATAGGCAGGAAGCTCCGGTAAGTATACAATGAGTTGCATGAAAATCTGAACTCCACCTCACTACTAGAAGAACATTATAGATCTCTACCGCTGGCAAGCTTAAAGGCCAGGTGTGAAAGGCCCTGAAACAGCTCACTAAAGAAAATTCAGTGCAATTCCTTTATTTTCTTTCCAATAACTTTTGAGAATTTATATGGCAGAGTTTATATGTAGATGTTTATGTTTTCTTTGCCTTGTAGAGGAAGAAGAGAATAGATATGATAAAGCCAGGAGATATTAAAGTAATGATTTCATGACAGCTCAAGACCAAGTCTGAAAGAAAATTTAAATGGGGCTCAGGGTTTGTTAACATTCCTGCATCTTATGTTCTATAGTCAAACACTTTAACTGCATACTTTTGAAATTTGGAAAGATAATGGTACAATGGTACATCTAGTACAACCTCTTCATTTTATATAGGAGGATACTGAGGCCCATGGAGAATGAATGACTTGTGCAAGATTAAATTATAAACTGATTGTAGAGTCACTGACAAGGTCTCCCAATTATAGATATTATGGTGCCCCACTGGTGTGGCTCAGTGGTTGAGCAACGACCTGTGAACCAGGAGGTCATGGTTCGATTCCTGGTAGGGGCACATGCCCAGGTTGTAGCTTGATCCCCAGTGTGGGGCCTGCAGGAGGCAGCCAATCAATGATTCTCTCTCATCATTGATGTTTCTATTTCTCTCTCCCTCTCCCTTCCTCTCTGAAGTTAAATATATATATATATATATATATATATATATATATATATATATATATATATTATGGAATAAAATTTTTTTAAAACCAGGAGCCTAATCTCAACTAGGCAGCTGAGTAAATATCCAAAGCACAAGAAACTGTCCTAGCCAGGTGTTGCCTGCATTTAACAGTGGAACCTTTCCTGGCAAATTAAAGACTCATTTAATTTCAGCTTTCTTTCCCACACTACTCATACCCCGGGGAGCAATTTGATTGGTGAGCCCACATCCACTACATACTACTTCAGGCCATGGAACAATACAGATGAAAATGGTAATCTGACTCTTAAAGCAATGCTTCAGAGGTAAGAAGCGCAGTTATAAATCCATAGGGTTGAATGCACAAAATCAACCTACAATTTCAGCTTAAGTATTTGAGACAACATACAGTTTAAGAAAATGATGTTCTTCCTATTCCTTTATGATTTTATTTTGTGTAACTTGCCACCTAATGAAATTTGTTGTAATAAAATCAACTTTATTGAATCTAATTAAAATGCCTTGGGGAAAACTTTGTGGTGAAATGGTAATCTGAAATATTTGAGGTCTGAAGGGAAATGAGTTGTGAAAACACAGGAAAGTTTCACTTCTCACAAAATAAGTGAACTTTTTACTGATTAAGCCAAGGGATGGGTGAAGAGTTACTATGGTCATTATTCCTGAAAAATAGAATTAGTGGACCTCTTGATATCAAGAGAACAAAAGCTATCACAAGCCAGTTTCTCTCCTAAAAAAAGGGGTTTGTAGTAAGTATAATACACTCTGCTTGGGGAGGAAGAGGAAGGAGTCTTGGCCTTTAATTAGTGAAATATGCTTTCTGCATAATTTCCTTTCCTCTTTTGTACTCAAAATCCTTAGAACATATTTATGAGTTATCCTATAGAAGCTAGATTAAGCAAACAGCAATTATATCAACCCAGGTTCAGTTTATTAAGAGAATCTACCAATTTTTATTTGAAGTGATGTTTATAAAGAATGCAAACAGTAACTGCAGATGAAAGAAAGAACAAAATATGTAGCAATGTTGTTGACTCATAGTATTCCAGCTATGTAAAAACTTTAATAATAAGGAGAGTTGAAAATATTAAACAACTATAAAAATCAGTTTCTCGACCTCTTTTGTGAACTGGCATAAAAACAAACAAATGACAAACTAAAATAACTTTATAAATATGATTATTCTTTTCCTAATCATCGATACCACAAGATTTCCAGCAATCGGTGCCATTGAGGGATTAGGAGTTTTCTCTTCATACAGCAAATTTAGCTGCACCTGATAAAATGAGTGATGAGGAAGAAACACTGTTGGAACTTTCTTTGATCCAACATTGTAAGAAATAACAAATATTAAAACTGTTATGCTGCAGTTTAACTTGTCTGCATTTGACACTCTTTATTAAGATGCTTTCCACCTCTGCAATAGACAGAAAAGTTTTAACTAATTTTTCATAACCTAGTGATTCTCAAGGCATCAAATATCTTTGTTTAAAGGTCATCTTAAACATTTTCAAGGGCGGGCTATCTTATTTTTCAACTTGGGAAAGCTCAAGAAGGTACAGACATAATGGCATGAATGAAACTAGCCTTCTTCTCTACTCATGTGGAACCATAAATTGTTAGTCACTCAAGACTAATTACTATTATGTGATTTATTTGAAAGTCCAAGACTCTTAATGACTGCTTCCCCAGGGTCACACTTTATTTGGGCTTCTGTTTCGAGGAAACAGCCCTGTTATCTCTGAACTAAGAAGTGGCCTTTACCAGTGATTCTGAAACCACCCCTGTAGTCGTGTTTGCAGAGCGTGGCCGTGTTCAGCACTGCCAGCATCATGGATCAGTGAATAACCTGATGAAGTTCAGCTAGCAGGTCTGTGCTGCACTGAGTTTTTAAAAGTCATGAAATTCACATAGGAGATGTTGAGGCCATTAGTACTGCCCTGCATCTTGAGGCTGCATGTCTGATTGCTGTGATCGTGCTTGTGAGTTCAACGTCACTGAGAAGTAGAAAGAAAAACCACACACTAAGCGGTTGTGGGGAGCAAAGAGGAGAATAGGATACTTCTTGGACAAGAAGATAAAATCAAGCTAAAAAATATTCAAGGGCAAATAGTATTCACAATGTAGCACAGAATGGGGTGAAGATGTCAGTTGATTAAAATGCTACAATCTAGGTGACCATTACATGTCAGGAATTGCTCTCTTTAAAAAACTACAACAGAAAACAAACAAAAAAAGCACCAAAAAACAAAGAATGTTTTTACATCATCAGTTAGGTGAAGGATTCTAACAAGGTAATTTTTAACTGATTAGCATGAAATAATATATACTGTCAGCATGCATATTTCTGTTTAAAAAGTATCTAATGACCAGAACTTATGCAAATTTATGGTCTGTGAAAAAGGAAGTCAGAGTAAGTGGAATTTAATTGAAAAAGCAAAACAAAACAAAAAAAAGCAAAAAAACAATGGGCACATTCCTGTTTGCTACTGACCCTCTTCAGCTGCTGCTGTAACTGTTCCCGCATGGACTCAGGGCAAGTGTCCAGCTGGGTCTTCTGCTCGGAGTAAAGCTCCTGAAGCCTCTCTAGTTTTTCCCTTTCAGCATCAAGCTTTACCTTCTCCTGAAGTTCAGAAATCAGAAAACAGAAGAATAGAAATTACCTTCACACCTAAGCAGGCGTTAGTGAGCATTTCCCAAGGATAACACATACAGTACAGTATACGCAAACTCTACGTATCCTATGAACGTAGAAACATAGGTTAGTGACTAGGGAAAGGGGGCATCAGTGGAAGTAGAAACAAGAGACCCATTTCTGTATTCTCAAAACACAATCTACATCCTGGAGTATTGGCAATGACCCCCATCCTTCCTTCCTTCCTTCTTTCTTTCCTTCCTTCATGCCACCACGTTACAAAAGCCGGGGAAGCAACGGTAATGTTGGTCAATGGTCAACAAAGAACAAAAGCAATGCCAACTGAATTCCTAAGACAGCCTTGCAGAGTCACTTGGCAGAGAGCCAGACAATGAAAAGCAGGCATTTACCTCAAGTGCTGTGGGAGTCCAATTTGCTCAAGACATTTCTTAGGCAAGCTTTGAAAATCACTGAATTTTTATTCCCATGTCGGAGGCACATTAGGCACTTTGGGTAATACCCAGCATCCGAAACAGTTCTAGCTATCTGGTCAACCTCAGTGCTTAAGCAATTAGAGGATCTGATTCCAAGGAGAACATCTAATTCAGAGGCTGAGAGAGCTAGTAAAAAAAAAAAGACTTGACCAAGCAGTGAGAGGAAGGTATATAAGAGACCCTGAATGTGTGACATTTACGGTGGAGATAAGAACTTCCCCTACAAGGACTGACTGAAAAAATAAGTGAAACATGGACTGTGCAAAAAGAGGAGAGGAGAACACCCAGGAGTCAGAGAATAGAAGAGAAAGGAGAAGATAGCACTGAATCCCTCCTAAGTCACACACTCCAAAGTGACACGGACATTTTCCTGAGTATAATAGGCGAATCTGTAAGACAGTGATTATCAGGCCTTCCAATGCCACTTGGTAAACAAACAAAACTTCAACCTGTTTAGCGCTGATCTTCCCAACTTGTGTTCCCTTTATGATACTCTGAACCCTTGACGTAAACTTCAGACCTGATTCTCTCCTTGCGGAACCCTCTCGGACTACACAAAAGCACTTTATGAAGCATGACCGCAGTTTCACCCTCAGTAAGCAAAATACCATGTCCTTCCTTCCTTTCCTTCATTCATTCCATGTGAATTGGTAGAAATAAAACTGGTTCCTAAGTATATTACAGAAGTATTTTTTTAAAAGATAAAGCTCTGAAGTAGTCCTATGGAATTATACTTACTATAACTTCTTTATCCAAAAGGCCATGATTTCCTGTGTAAACATATATTTAGATTCTTTATAAAAGATGTTATGGGGTTTTTTGTTGTTGTTTTTAAGTCTAAAACTGTATGACATCAATACCTATGCCAGTTCACTTGAGTCTCTATTTTTGGCTTAAATTTTAAAGTGTCAAGAGCATTTTAGGAATGTATGTTTTGATTTAGAAATGCATTCTTTTCTCATAATGATTAAATCCAGAAATCATAAAACTAAAATCCTATTTCATATATCAACCTAAAAATGATTCTGCAACTTATATCTCAGCAGATTGTAAGGACAGTGTTCTTGCCTTTAATGGCAAGTTTGCTCATTGGGCACATACATTGAGCAGGAACTGGAGAAAGCAATGACACTGTTCACAGAAAAAAAAAGGATTCTCAAGTGCTGATTCATAGTAAAACTGAAAATACTGGCAGGATCAGTTGGATTTAGTGTTACTTTTAGAATCAATCATTTTTCCCTTAATAAAACAACAATACAAAGTACCCATTGTCTTTTGGCCAATAAAATGTATTTCCTCTTTGTGTGGATCAAAGATGGCCCTCTTTAAAAAGCAAACAATGTTATCCAAAAACAATTCCATTTCTAGATATTACATCACCAAATTTTGTAGTAAATCTAGTTCCAAACAGAAAGTTAAGCAAATAAGAAAATCACTTATTCCAATTAAATACCATAAGTTCAAAGCCCCAAATTTAAAGTTATATTTGATAAAAAAAAAAAAAAACACTGATACAATATTTGATAATATGAAAAGGTGCTGGCCTAAAACACAGGTCTCAATCCAAAGAAAGAAACAATTGCTCTGACATCCTCATTTTAAAAAATTGTTAATAATAGATCACAAATGAACAGCTAATAAAAAATACCTTCTGTTTACATAGTGCCTTCCTCCTGAGGTGCTCAAAACGTTTCGCAACTTCATACAAGGGGGCGGTTAGAAGAATTATGCAAGCAGGCACCATCAGAGCCTTCTGCAGCTTCTCTGCGATTTACCAGTAAGGCTGTGACCACTACCTAGGTCTCAGAGCAAAAGCTCAGTGGGGCCAAGGATAGGGCAAAGGAAGTAAAGGGGAAGGATGAAAGAAGGACTAGTGGCAGGTGTGCCTGGCCATAAATCACAGAGGACCACAGAGGTGACAACAGTCCTGCCAGAGCCAGAAGTAGACCAACTCTGAGTCAGAAAGAAATTAATATTCCTCTCTCTATTTACTGCCCAGGAAGTTTTCAGAGGGAAATTAGCTCCAAACAGTAGTTAATTAGAGCTGAAAGTATCACCTAATACAGCGAAGGTAAAATAGATGGACAAATTAGATGGCGTTCTAATTGCTTTTTACAATTATTGTGTTATACTTGCTTTTTACAATTATTGCGCTATAATTGCTTTTTACAGGGATTCTTGCTTTTTACATGTAAAATTTAAGAACGGTGCTATTCTCTGCCTCCAGATTTAAAACTCACCTATACCAATGACCATAACACAGTGATATTTCCCAAACATAAAATTGGGAAAGAGTATAACTTTTTTAAAGATTCATAAAATTGATTTTCAGGAAATACATGAATTAAGATACATTTTTAATATTTTAACAAATTTAACTTTGTTGACAAAAGAAATTTCAAGGAATTGGGACACACCAGGAAAACCCAGGTGTACAGGGGCCATTTACAAAACCAAGAACAGACCAAGATTCCCTAGAGACACGGCTGCTTCCATCAGCACTGTTCTGGCACTGACTTGTCCTCGTCACCAATTCATTGCCAGATGGTGCCTGTTTTGTGTATTTAAGACTGATGTTCCCGAGGTGTATATTCAGCCAGAAGTAAATTATTCGCAGGCAAATAAAAGTAGAAATCAGTACATAAACCAGGCTTATAGTTGTTTCCATAGTGAGTTGTTCATTCACTCACTCAATAAATACTTATAAGGGGCTAGAGGTAGAGAAGAGAGGGAACTTGATCACTTCTCATGAAGTGCAGGCTATTCAGCTCTGTGGTTCTTAGCCCAGACTGCGTATTAGAAGACCTTCTGTGAGCTTTTCAATATGTTATTTCCAGGCCTCCACTTAGTCAGAAAGGCTAAGTAATGAGCCTCTAAAAAATTTCTTCAGCCCAGCAGGAGTGGCTCAATTGGTTGAGTACCGTCCTGTGTGCTGAAAGGTTGCCGGTTCAATTCCCAGTCAGGGCATCTACCCAAACTGTGGATTTGACCCCTGGTGAGGCACGTAAGGAAAGCAACAGATCAATGTTCCTCTCTCACATCGATGTTTCTCTCTCCCTTCCTCTCTCTAAGCTTGTCCTCGGGTGAGAATAAAAACAAACAAAACAACAACAAAAATCTCTCCAACTTTTCTAATATGCAGCCAGGATGACAATCACTGATTTAGCTACCCAGGATGATGTGAAAGGCAAAAGCAATTAACTATATTTTGATTTTCCTAATAAAGACACCAGATTCTACCACAGGGTACACCAGAAATTGTTCTTAAATATTTGGTTTAGCACCTTTGCTTCAAAATATAAAAGGCTTCTCCTACAAGTAACATCCCAGTTGTTTTTGTCCCAAATTTTTACATTCATATTAAATGCCTCAAGTAAACTAAACAAAAAATTGGACTGTGAGAGATTTCAATATCCAATATGCATTCAGAGAGAAATGATGCATTTCAAATTCAGGTGCAAAATGATTCTCTTCTAATAGACAAATGGTCAGGAGTGGTTATAAAGTTACCTAAATAATTGGAATTTGCACAAAAGAATTGCCAGTAATCTTGAATGAACGTAATAGTCCAAGGATTGTCATAGGACCACTTATGTTGCTAGATCTGTGGTTAGAAGACAGTAACATAAGTTTTCTCTCTTTTAAGTTGTATTCTTGAACTGAGAATTAACCTGTTGGTTCTACCTGAATTCCAATACCACACAGAAATTCTTGAATACCAATGAAAAAAATCATTTTAGCATATCTGAGTGTGCAATACTTGTTAAGCAGATGGGTCAAGATTATTCTGAAAAGATTCTTACTTTTTTAAAAATATTTTTTATTGATTTTTTACAGAGAGGAAGGGAGAGGGATAGAGAGTTAGAAACATCGATGAGAGAGAAACATCGATCAGCTGCCTCCTGCACACTCCCTACTGGGTACATGCCTGCAACCAAGGTACATGCCCTTGACAGGAATCGAACCCGGGACCCTTGAGTCCGCAGGCCGATGCTCTATCCACTGAGCCAAACCGGTTAGGGCAGATTCTTACTTTTTTAGCTTGTATGGCTGCTAGTGAAAACAGAGGATACTCAGTTAAATTTTAACTTCAGGTAAACAATAAATTACCTTTTAATGTAAGTATGTCCCAAATAATGCATGAGACATAATTATACCAAAAATGTCTTTTCTTTTTCACACTGTCGTGCTATGGACTCATAGGGAATGGGCTCCCACAGCTCAGGCTCCTTTTCATTGGTTCTCACACAGTGTGCCTCTCTGGGTGGAACAGGCTGGCGCTTCAGCTGAACCCAGGTTTCTTTCTCTGTGGCTCCCTTCCTCTTCTGATCACTTTCCTTCCCATGTTTCAGGGAGCTATCTCAGCTCTTAGAGTGTTTAATACGCTCAGTACATACATTCATTCTGTTGGCCAGATCTTACCCTTAACTTGTTTGTTCACAACAATGTCCACCACATCTTGGATGACACACAGACTCTTCCAGTTTTGCTAGG